CCGAGGAAGAAGAGCAAACCATTATCAATCTTCATAAAGTTCTTGGCAATAAGTACTCTATTAACTTTCTTCTGTGTATTATAACTTCTTTAAAAGCCAACAACTAAACAGCAGCCCTTGGTTAATATGTTTTAACTTAGCAGGTGGTCTACAATAGCAACCCATCTCCCTGGACGAACAGATAATGAAATTAAAAATTTCTGGAACACCCGTCTGATGAAGAAGCTTCTCCAAATGGGGATTGATCCAGTGACTCACAGGCCAAGAACTGATCTCAACATTCTAGCTAACCTGCCACAGCTGCTTGCTGCTGCCAACTTTAGTAACCTAATGAATATTCCTTTAGACAATGCTCTCAGGTTGCAATCAGATGCTGCACAGCTTGCCAAAATCCAATTGTTGCATAACATACTTCAAGTTCTTGGTACTTGTAGTAGTAGTTGTACTCCTCCGACTATGGAAGCAATGAACCTTATTCTAGTTGGACCAACTTTCCAGGAAAATCATCAGCTATATGAACTCCTTAGAATAAATTCTCGGCATGAAGGGAATGGTAATCTCCCCTTTGGCTTTGCCACACATGAACTTCCACAATTACAGTCAAATATTCTTAACATCGAAGCTTATCAACATCAGCCACAGTTCAGTCAATATCATCAGCCAATGAAAGTCTTAAAAATTTGTTCCAACAACAATGTTCAATTTGCTTCTTCCTCTTCATCTTCTGCTCTTCCGACTTCAACTCCACCGATTCCAGCATTAGTTCCAGCCTCACCCGAACTTCCACCAACTACTGTTAATCAAACTGAAAACAAAATTAACCCAAACGATAACCCTTCATTTCCTTCGACCACCTTTGAAGCTTTGGGAAATCTTATGGATGATGAAGCAAGTGACTCTCACTGGAGAGACATTATACAGTAAGTATTTATTATTAGTCTATTGCCTTGTGAACTAAATTAATGCACTGCTTAGATCATTTTATATTCTTCTTTTTTTTTGCCATTATTAAAAAACCAAAAAAACTCTGTTTAATAAACACTTTGTTCATTTATTTATGATTCATTTTCCTTGATTTGCAGCCAGGCATCATCACAATCATGGCCCATCTCTTAGTTAAATATATCAAGAGTTTGGTTTAATAACTTGTAGACAATCCATGCAGTTATATATATATTGCTCAGTTAAGAATCCCCCTTTCATTAGATTTAAATAGAAAGAAAAATTTTCATAGTTTAATTCAATTGATTCATATAATCTGTTAAAGTGATGTTATCATATATGTAATAAATATTTAATTTTTTATAATTTTATATTTAGGTTGGATCTATCTTTTTACTGTCAATTAATTTTAAGTTAAATATTTAATATGACATCAAAGTTAAGATTTTTTTTGTTATTTTTTTAAAATTTATCACGTGGTAACCTTTCACTTACTATCAATTAATTATTTATTATAATCTTATTTTTAAATTAAATCATTTCATTTATTGTCAATTAATATTTTAAATCGGATACTCTCAACATTGAGTAATTCATTTTTCTATCCTTATATTACTAATTTTTTTCATAATTTAAATCTCAGCACTTGTAATTTATTCTTTTATTTTCAAGTTATATTTTTTTAAAAAAATAATAATAAAAAAAAGAAATACAGGCCTCTTGCCAAAGTTATTATATATTCTCTGTATCTCTTTTCTTTTACAGTTTAATTTGTTATACAACCTTAGATTTTTTTTCTATATATATTTTTTCTTTTTAACTAATTTTGTTCTTGGTTTATTTCGCTTTTTTAATTATATTTCTATAGTCGTTGTTAATTATGCACATGCATTTTCATTTCAGCTGGCTATGTCTATCATTAGAAAGAGAAGGAAAGGGGAAAGCAGTTGGATGAATATAAAAATAAAATAAAATAAAATTAATTGTAGATGGTTTTGGACACGAAATTGATGAGTGAAAAAGAGTTTTTTTTATCAATTAGAAAAGGGGTTTGGACCTTGGGATGTAGAAGGACAAATTCATGTCAAACTTGTATTAACACAAAAGACTGAAAAATTAAATGCTTAGAAACATTTCTATTGTCTTTTGGCAGTGTCTCACTCAAATGAAGATCAGGAACAATGAACCTTGAAATAAATGAAATAAATAAATATATATATTCTAAAAAAAGAGAAAAAAAATTATAAAAGCATTGTTGCTAAACTAATAGATAGTTATATTGGAAAAAATTCATACGAAAATTTTTTATTTAAAATTTGTAAAGTTATTTCTTAAAAATAATTTAATAAAAAATCCAAATCGATATGTTGATCCAATTTAAGATAAAGATCAATAATATATATAATTATTTAAAATATTATTAATAATTTAAATTTGATCTATATTTATTCAACAGCAAAAATTCTTTTAATATTTTTACTAAAAATATCTATCTAAAAATATATATTGAAGTTTTTTCAAGTTTTTTCAAATTTTTTCAAATTTCGCACATTTAACCTATATAACGAGATATTTCAATCTATTGATTTTAATTTTGATTTTGATTTTGATTTTTATTTAATGGATTTTAGTTGAGAACCTCAAAAACCTTTATTTAAGTCCTATCCTAGTTATATCTGTCTCATAATAAAAAGTCAAGACATTTCCAGCTAATAGAAGCAAATTGATGCAAAGCTATAAGGTGCGTTTGGTCGAGGGAAGTTAGATTATTTTTAATAATCTGATTTTTCTCTAATCACTTTACATGATAAATTTCGGAGAATAAAAGGGCAAGTCCTCCAAAACCCTAACAGTCTCTCTTTCATTTGTTATCTTGTAGTATAATAAAATGTGTTGCTATAAAATAGGGTTATAACTTATCGAGTTGTCATTTTTGTTTGCTGTTGTTGAAAAATGAAAGGTTTAGTAATTTCAAAACATAAGATTAATTGTATCTTTATTTGCCTTAAGAATGAAGGGAAAGAAGAAAAACACAATCATAAATATATTTTGTGATTTTCTAAACGGAGATAGGTATAAGAGAGCTTTGGAGAAATCCCTGTTCACAAGCTAAGCTTGTCCTGCATTGGACTTTATGATATTAGTAGGTTTCCTATTTGACCTTTTAAAAACAACTAACCCTTACCAACCTTGCCTGGTATGTTGCTTGTTACTTATCAGTGCTAAATCACAAAAATTTATAGTGAAAAATCAAGTTAAGCAATTTTTAATTTTTTTTATATTTTAAGATTATATGATTTTTAACACAAAATTTTAACTTTCTTCTCTATTAAATTTATTGATGTGTTTTTGGGATGTCCTAGATGTAAAGAAGATGATAAGATGGAAGGGGAAGACAGCGGTGACTTGCAGTCAGAAAACACAGACATAGGGCACCAGAGTTATTACTTCAGGTATGCTTCGACGCTCAAGTTAGTATAACCTGAGATTGGGTTAGGAAGTAAGATGGTAAAGTACGTGTGGGAAGTTTCAACGAAAAAGAAAAAGTTCAGAGAGTTGGGTCTCTTCTCATAGTACCTTGTTTATATAGTTTTTTACCTAACTCTTGCCTAAAATCAAAGATAATAACCTGATCGAGACAATTTATAATTGATATAATATATACGTAAAATTCAAGAATGGTTTATAAAAATAAATGAAAATAACATTTAATGATTTTAAGTCATCCCTTTGGTGGATGGTAAACCATCCCTTTAGAGCAAGTGATGTGGCTATTTAAGCATGCTTTACCTGGATTACCCGAGGACACAGCTACAGAGACGAAGGTAGAAAATTGATAAAGAAGGGTTCAAACAATAATTTTAAAAGAAAAGAAATGATCATATAGTAATTAGATGAAATTCATCATTATATATCAAAGGAGATAAAAAAATTTAAGGGGCATGAGCCCTGCCTACCTTCTTTAGTGCCGCCCCTACCCAATTGTATCGATCAAGTTTTGATTGTTGACTAATTAACTTACGTATAACAAAATTACACATTTATAAATTTCATTAAAATATTTTGATTTTTTCACAATATATATAAAGATGTATTATATATGTATACATATGCATGCATTTTATATCCACATCTTTGCAAGAAACATTATTTGAAATTACTATACTTTTTGCGAGAGAAATGGGATTTTATTATGGGAGAAACAAAACTATATTGTAAGATAACTCAAAATTTAATTAATTTATTTTTTTTATAAAGGAATTTATAGTATGAGAATAAAAGAAAAAGTAGTAGATGTTAAAATTAAATTCTAAATTTATTAGATGTTTTTTTTTTAAATAATTATATGAATTAATTAAATTAAATTTTAAATTCAAATTCAATAAATTTAATATTAAAAAAAAAAGCAATAATTTATGTAAAGGATCCAAGACCAATCTAATGAACTCGCATAACCAGACTTAATTTATATTACATTGTTTTGTGAATGAAAAACTTGAAAAATTAAAAATGTAATTTGCTACTTGTGAGGATCTAACTTGAGCCCCATTCTTGGCATCGGACGTACAGTTCTTAAATCCACACACCAAAAAAAAAAAAAAAAGAGAATTCAAACCTAGCCATATCTCGTAAGGTTTCATTCTATCGATTGATCCTTTTACAAGAAAGCCTAGCTTCTCTCAATCTAACATTTCTATATCATCTATGTTTTTTTTTATTATTATTTAATTATGGCCTATAAAAGGTACAGTTCCTATAATTTTTGCATTCGGAGGTGATTGGCTTGGTCCTCCCTTCTATTATTGTTCTACACTTTGGGAAGGAATAGTTTCTAATTGGATCAGGCAAAGGCAAAGTCCACTCATGTTCTCCCACAGCTTACAATATAGTTTTAAATATATAGGCGTCATCAAGCCCTGCAACATCTGAGAGGAAATTGCAATTGCAAAAGCAAAGTTACGGGGGCAAGTTTCTACATGCTGGAAGTCAATGTGCTAGATAGTGATGCAGTGGGAGCTCCCCTGCTTTTATTTTCAGGTTGTGGCTTCCTATGTACAGAAAAAGCTCAAACGTGCCATTTACGAGATCAAATAGGATAAAGATGACAGAGAGATTGCAGAACTCTTATGGGTTTGCATTGAATCTTTTATTTCTTCACCATGACTGACAGGGAGAAGCAATGGGAGGTACTCCCAAGGATGAAAAAGGTAAAGCATCGGTGTTTGCTAGGATATCATGCAGAAGGACACTTGAGTACAATCCCAAGTGCAGGGCTGCTGCCTCGACTGTAAACATCCATTGCAAAACTTACAGAAACTACAAAGAATCATCTCATTGCAACCTTAAAACCAAGATTAATCCATTCTTTTGGCATCCAAGTTCAAACGTATTTCATTTCGCTGCAGCTGAAGAAATGTGCAGACTACCATTAAGCATGCACTAAATAATTTAACATTAATGGTCATTTTGGCTTCCAACATTTTTCATTTCACTGTCATTCACAAAGGGCGATGAAATTGAAATAGAAGAAATATGAAGCAAATTGTTTCAAATTGTTTAGGCTTCTGGAATCTTGTATCCTTAAATAAATTAGATACGAATGTGATTGTGAAGTAGAATTAAAGGTGATGAAATTGACACCCAAAAGTCTAGTTTAGGGAGTCGTATCTTTGGTTGATCCTTGGAATTTTCTGGGGTAGATATCCATTTTAAGAATTGTTATAGTCAATGAACTGTTATGAAATCAACAATCATCAACAATATGGTAAAGGTAGGGGAGTTTCTTTTTTTTTTTTTTACAGGGTCTCTCCTGAATCAATCTAATTCCAAAGGTAAGATTGAATTCCATGCAGCATAAGTGAAACCAACACACAGCAAAGATTGAAGAAATTCAATAAATACACATTTGAATAACCATTTATTTACGAATACAAGAGCTATTACAAAATAACACTTTTCTGTTGGAAGGGGGGAAAGAGAGTATATATCAGTCATTGAATTTCTTTTTTCTTTGGATGACACAACTCTGCTCTTTTTCTTCTCTTGGAAGATGCCAAACACTTATTAAACATACTTGCAACCTAAACACCCAGTTTTAATCACTCTATTATTTTGTGTCGATACGAGACCCCAAGTTTCTTTAAATTTAGGCCATTTCACCATCTTCTCTTCATTCTTCATCAGCTTTGCAGCCACAAACTTCAGACAAGTCTTCATGCAACTAATAACAGTTGTGACAAGCTCTCTGCAGAACACAGGTTTAGAACAGTTATTTCATAAAAACAATTATCCATCTGCAAACATAACTCTTAAAAGTAGTTTGGCTCGCAGCAGACAGAATCTAATGCAATGTTAGCAATATATTAATATCCCAGCCACAGATGTGCTATCAAAATAAGTTTTATGTTTTCCAGAGACAACCCAAAAAGTAGTATCATGCTAGGAAGATTGAAGATTTCAACTGTGCTTGACCAAAAGTTCTCACGCTATTGTTGCTCAAGCACAGGACAAATATAGCATAATTCGGCCAGATAGACTCCTCTGATTATAGTCTGGCTATCATAACCAGCACATTGAAAACCATCTTGTCAAAAATCAGGCAGACTTATACCAGAATATTTTGGCTTTCTAGATTGAGCAAAATATACAGTGCCCAGAAGTGGGTATTATCCCGATGAAGGAAGGATTGCTAAGTTGTAAGAAAGATCTTCCTAAATGTTAGGAATAAAGCTTTAATGACTGGTTTGTGGAACACCTACAGCCAGGGCAAAAAGTTGATCCTGCATTCTGATTCTCCACAGTTACATGGTCAGTGGACAACAAGAACTATGCTGAAGAAAAAAAGCATTGCTACATTATTTTAACTAAAGATAAGTAATAGAACCTTCCATAGCCTGACATTAATCCAGCTTCAAAAGAAAAAACATCAAATCTAAACATACCAGACAAAAAAGAAACAATTCTCGAACAATAGATAAAATGCTAGGTATCATACTCTTGGTGCATTTCAATGTAAAATCTGAAGTCTCAAGAGCATATCACCTGCTGGAAAATTCACATAAACTATTCTTCTTTAATTGTCCCAAACTTGTACTTGGACTACTTGATAATAAACAGACTATAAGCATAATCAGAACAAGACCACATGCATAAAAAGAAAAAGCTTAGAGCATCCTAAACTAGAAGCCTCAAAACTAAGATTTCATTATTACTGCTGCAGAGCATAGATATTTGAAATTAATAACATAAAAATTTAAACCACGTTGGCTGTCTCAAAGCATCCTAATCCTACGTAAAATCCCATAAAAAATGCTGTAACCATATTCCACTCAGGCCACAAGAAGCTCAAGGAAAAACAAAGTCAAAGATCAACACAATGACGTCCTTCTGACTCCTGCTTTCATAGATCTTTACACAAATTTAAAAAAGAACATTTATGGTCTTAAAGGTTATATATAATCAGTAATTAGGATCGAATAAAGCAGTGCAAGGGTTAATGTTTTTACCAATCTAGCAAAACACTATACATCATTAGAATCATAAACCCTATTTACCTTTTCCACCTAACAACCCTAAAAAATTTCAAGACTCGTTCATGGTGAATAATCAATATCTGATCACTGCCTATATTGACAAAATCACGTATACACCTCATTTCGAATGCAAATAAGACAGAATAGATGTCTGGGTCTGAAATTCATTATTTTAACATAACACCCTCAGTCTTGGAAATACCATAGGAACAGAATTCCATTTATTACTCCTAAAGGATACAATGATAATTGGAACTTTCATAAGAATAGAAGGAAGGGGTTCCCAGCGCACTTCCAGACGATCTCTTAGTTGATTGAATCTGTCTATGACCTAAGTTTGATAGAAAGCTGAGCATGGCTCTAAATATAGTCTGTTCAACTTGTAATGATCTCTCTTTTTCCAGTTGTATATCCTGATTTTTAAATTGCTATGTACTCCTCATAATGGTAGTTATAATGAAAATGAAAAAGTACGGGTAAAAGCTAGTTCTCTAACAACTCAGCCCTGTTATCCCTCTTGGCAGACAGCAATTATTATAAAATACTTAGAAGTTATATATTTTTATATGGTAAAATATATGATCATAATACATTTTAAACTTACAATGATGAGCAACAAGAACGACTGCCATTTACGTGGTAAACGAACAAATATGAATCATAATGTTGACAATTGATCGAGTAAAACCCATGCACTCTCCGCACACACTTGAATGACATCTTCTTGTATAAATGAATGGCTGGATTATTGTATGAAATCACATGCAAGTAAACAGCATGGCAAACTGGGATGCTCAAAGCATATTTCATAACCTCATGGATAAGTGCTGTAGCTGTTGATACAACACCAAGCAAAATTTGGTCATAGGGTGAAGGAATATTTAAAATGAAAAATGGGAAAGGAAAGGGAGAAAGAAGAACCATTAGTAGAGAAAAAGTTTCCTACCTATGCCAAGATTTCTGTAAGCATCTACTACTCCCAGTGTCGGAATATATACTAAGGTTTGATCCACCTTTGATGAGTCATACCTGAGCAAATCTGCAAGGTAGGTGTTTGTTGAAATGTTTAGATGACTCAGAAACAATTTATCACCAGAAACAAGCATTCAAATACTTCATAAAACAAAAGGAGAAATATTTGAGACCCAAAAACAGAAGCAAAGGGTTGACTGTCAATATTATTTTTCCACGACAATATTCAACAATGAATATTTTCATTTTTAGAATCACAACTTCAAACATTTTAAAAACTCTGCTTAAGCCATATTTCAACCACCAAGCAAATATCATTAAAGCATTAATGCTTATCCATAGATGACAGTACAATTCCTGCAGTAACAAATCCAATAAGCTCGTCACTTTGCGCATTGGGTCGATTGCAATCAACAGCTGCCCATGACAAAATATCACGTAAATTCACAACATTTTGGAAACTCATACCTGAAGAGATCAATACCTTTCCTTGAAGATGCAAGAAATACTCTTTACTGAAAACCCTCAATAGAAAACAGATGCATTTCTTACCTGATAAGAAATACGTCACTGTGGATTTGTTCTAAAATCTCTAAATCAGATGGTTGTATGGGCCTATAGCAGATAGTAGGATGATGTGAGATTTTCGGGTTCACCATTGAGGATCGAATCATTAATCTCCAGAAAACATGTGATATATTTGGAGAAATTGTAAAAAAATTCCTCCTTCCATTTATGCAGCATCGGCCACAATCGGCATGCAGCATTCGATGAAAACTGACAAAGAAGAAATTTTCACATTCCATTAGTTCCTTCTGACGTCAAATACAGCCCATACCACTACCCCATCCCAAAAACACAAAATCACAACTCATAGACACAACAGGAAAAAACAGGTCCCTTCTATATATGGGTAGTACACCCTTCATTACAACACCAAAAACCTCAAAAAAAAAAAAAAACTGTTATTTAACTTGAAATTTTAACAGCCTTCGCATTACAACATCAAACAATTTTTCACATAATATTATTGAATTGTTTAGTTGTAACTCTTGCTATTTGCTTTTACATTTGAAAACCAAAAGCAAAAACTACTTTTGGGTACAAAATCAAACGATCTTTTTGAACAAGTAAAGATTTAAAATGCATTTTCTTTTGTAGAACAAAACAAAACGAAACCCAAAATTCCGAACACCCCAGAAACCAGCAAAAACCAGGAAACAAAGGATAAGCACTCCAAAACCCAAGTTGGAAATGAACACAAATTAGTAAATTACAATAAAGATCCAAAGAACAAAGAACATATACTCAAATAGCAAAATTATAAAAAAAAAAAAAAACCAATAAAAATTATTGAAAATTTTGTAAAAAAAAAAAAGAAAGTTATTTACCCGGAGAATATCAGGGTAGAACAAAGATCGTAGCGTGAAGAACTAGAAAAGCATCCTGGAAAATTCAAAAGGTTAAAAAGAAGGCTCTTCATCTTTTATTTTATTTGTTGACCAGGGAACGAGGCAAAGGCAAAAGTTAGAGAAACATGTGACTGGAGACCGGCCCTGCGCTTTTGTCTTCTCTATGATTTTTATTTTTAGTGAAACTTCTTGCTGATTGAAGATATAAAGTGCAGAAAAATAAATAAATGAAAAGATAAAATAAAATAAAAGTAGCAGACTGGACACTTTAATTAGATTCTTTTTTTTTTTTGAAAAATACTTTAATTAGATTTTTGGGCTAAAGAAAACCCGAAGCGAATCGGATATTTAACTTATTCAATAAACTTCCCTTCAAAAAGAACTTGATCAATAAATTTGTAAATTTATTTCATTTAATTTTAAGCAATGATATTTAATAAAGTTAAATTTTAAATTTTAATTTTTTTAATATTTTTTATTATCAAATTACAATTTTTATATAATAAAGATAATTTTATCTTGAGTTAAATATTTATTTGATTCTTATATTATATATTATTTTTTATCAATTTAGTATAAAAACTAATTTTTTAATTAAATATTTATAATTTATTTTGCCATCTAATTTAATATAACTAACCTCATTAAATAAGGAAAAGATGTTGACATATTAGTAAGACAAAAATTTATTAAAAAATTTGTTGAATTAATAAAAATAAAATATTTTATTTATAAATTTTAAATTTAAATTTTATTATCAATAAATTTTTTTAATAAATAAATTTTTTAATAAATGATTTGTAAAATATAAATTTTTTTCTTAAATTTATGATCTATTTTGACCCTAAATAAAAAAAATTTTTACTCATCCTAAATTTAAAAACAAAATTTAAAAACAAAAAAATAAAAATAAAAATCAATCAGCATTACCAAATTTAAAAAACGAAAGTTGAACTTAGAAAAAAAAATCAATCAGAACTAGCAAATAAAAAAAAAAGGAAAGTTTAATAGTTAAAAGAAATCAATCCAAATGATGTTTGATACTCGAGAGGGGAGAGTGCTTGTAAATAGTGTGGTCGGGCTCAACGGTCCAACAAACCTCACGCATCAAGGCGGCCAGCACACGCGGGGAGAGGGAAATTACCATATTGTCTCAAGCTGACCAGCATACGACGGGTGATGGGTCGCTTGAGTCGTTCCGAGGCTGTCTTTCTCTTTTTCTTTCTCTCGCTCACGTGTCACGTCTCCCCTTGTTGTTGGAGGAGGCAGTGCTTGCGGCGGCAATTCCATAGGGAGTGGCAGTGCTCACTGAGGCTGCAGTCACTGCAGTAAATTCCTTTTGTATAATTTTTATTTAATATATATATATATATTTCAAATTGATTCAGCGATGAGATACCTTAAACTTTGTTGGATTTTTTAAAACTTTTCATTGTAACAGATACCATGCTTATTTCATACAGGTTTTATTGACATCTGATTAAAAGATAGTGTGGTGGGAAAACTTTATCTTATTTTTTTATAGCAGTTTATTCTAGATATTGCATGAATAAATTGTTTACTTGATCCTTACAGATTTTTTAGAATATTGATATATTAACTAGCATTTTTATGAAATTTTTATGTAATATATTTTTTTTACATAATTTAAGCATAATTAATATTTAATGTTTTTCGTCAAATTTTAAAAAATAATTAAATTTTAAATTTATCAAATATTATTTTTTAAAATTATTATATGAATTAATTGAATTAAAATTTTTTATTATTTATTTATTTTTCTTAAATTTCCTTACATTACTTAATAACTTGATAAAAGAATCCTTGTTCTGTAATACACCGGCCACTTTTGAATATTGGAATTCGGAAAGCCTCGTTCCCAAACAGTCTGTTAATATATGGTTTTTACAAACTGCTACGTGTCAGTCAGTCAGTCTTTTCTTTCTATTCGTTTGTTCTCCATCCAAACAATGAAATCAAATCAAATCCGAACCCTTCCCTTTTACTCTCTACCCCTTCTCCTTTGCTGCTCCGTTTGCTCTCTACCATCTCCATCTCCGCTTTACCGTACAATTACCATTTTTTTTTTACCCTTCCTCTCTGTCTAGAAAATCTAGCTCTTCCTTGGGGTAGTTCCATGGCATATCGCCTTACTATCTGATCTGGAACGCCCTTTTTCTAATTCTTTTTAGGTAATATTTTATTAGTAGAAAAAGCCAAATGGGTTCTCTTCATGATTCAATATCAGCGGCGAACGCGGCGGCAGCAGCGAACGGCAACACGGTGCCGCCGTTTCTAAGCAAAACCTACGACATGGTGGATGACCCATCGACCAACTCGGTCGTGTCTTGGAGTAGCGGTGACAACAGTTTCGTTGTCTGGAAAGTACCGGAGTTTGCAAGGGACCTTTTGCCCAAGTATTTTAAGCACAACAATTTTTCCAGCTTTGTCAGACAGCTCAATACTTATGTGGGTATTTCTTTGATTTTATGTTTATTCGTTTTTTACTCTTATTTGTTTTTTAAGATTGCGATTTTTGGTACATATGCTTAGAATTCGAACCTAAGACCACTAAGGTCTGTTTTCTTGATGATGATTGTGATTTTGTTGTTTGAAGGGTTGTGGATTTGTTTCGAATTTCAGGGTCTAATTTTTTAAAATGTTTGGATTGTTTGTAATTTTTTTGGGGGGATAAATCAGTTTGTTCATTCATCCAAATAAGTAGGCTAGCAGCAAACTATTGGAACAACATTCCCAGAAAAAAATACAAGTGTTAAAGCTGCATATTTTCCTCCAAGTCCAATAGTTTGCTCTATTGAGCATCTCTTGGTTCATTTGGTGAAGTATGATCCTATATTATGTAACCTTGTTTAATTCTCTTCAAGGAGAGAATGAGATTCTTTTCTCTCCTTCTATCTCTAGGTTGCATTATATTCGTAAAATATTTCAATGGTTTGATCTATAGAATTTTTTGACTTGGTTGTGACTGATGCACATAGCATTACTGACTTGAATGCAATGCACTGAACTTATTCCTATCTACCTTACCATCCAGGTCTGATGCTGATAAAGTCTAGTTTCTATGCTGTTTTAACTTCTTTGATGCAGGAATCTTGCAGCAGCTATTAGCTTGAATACATCTGCATTAGCAATAAATGTCCTATCGAACATACATCCATTTGTGTAGCCATTTATATATTTTGACTAATTTTTGATATCATATAAAATGATACTACTTATTGCCTTCGTTTGCTACTAGTCTTATCTGTTGAATTTGAATTAGTTGAAGTATTTTACACATTCATCTATGATGTTTTTGCTCTCATATCAGTAGCTGAAATGTGTGGTGGTATTGTTCCATGTGTGTTATTTATATTGATTTCATGTTTCTAAAAAAAATTCTAAATGCCGTTGCTGATGTTTTTCATCTAAAATACTATAAAGTCTGGAGATGTAATTTATATGCCCTGATACTACCTTTAGTTGATCCTTTTTTCTTTTTTCCTGCCATGTTTGACCTCACTAGATGTGTTTACTTAAAAAGTTAATCAAGAAGAAGGGCATCATAAACCAACATTTTGTTTTAAGGACTTTCCTTGTAAGATACAAAATTCTCAGGAATAGCAAAATTGACACTGATTTTCTCATATTAGCTTTTCTTCTTTTGACTTCTAAAAATGTATTTTTTTTAACCAGCAAGTGAAGAAAAGCATAATGGAGAGAGTATTATTTGTAAAGTGCTGCCATGGGTTGTAATTTGAAAATTATTCGATGGAGAGGGTGAATTTTCCAGATCGAAGTTTTCTGAACTATATTTTCTTTTCTTAAGCTGAGGAACTCATCAAATTGTAATTGTGTTTGTTATCTGCAGGTTTAAGTATATGCTTGTAATTACTAATTGATTGTGGTCAGGCATTGTGGTTCAACCAAGACAGATGATATATGATTCAATTATATATTAAACTTCAATCCTGCCTTAAACATATGTTGGCTTGCTACATTCTGTTTGGCAACTATATATGATAACTCGAGTCGTTGATTTTCATAATTTTTTTCCTTTAGGGTTTTAGGAAAGTTGACCCTGACCGCTGGGAATTTGCTAATGAGGGGTTCCTAAGAGGTCAGAAACATCTCTTGAAAACCATCAGCAGGAGGAAACCTGCTAATGTCCACAGTAGTCAACAACCTCAAGTTCAGAGCTCATCCATTGGAGCTTGTGTTGAGGTAGGGAAGTTTGGGCTTGAAGAGGAGGTTGAATGGCTTAAGAGGGACAAGAATGTTCTCATGCAGGAACTTGTTAGGTTGAGGCAGCAGCAGCAAGCCACAGATAACCAGTTGCAAACTGTTGGCCAGCGTGTACAGGTAATGGAGCAGAGACAACAGCAAATGATGTCTTTCCTTGCTAAGGCCATGCAAAGTCCAGGTTTCTTAAGCCAGCTTGTACAGCAGCAAAATGAAAGCAACAGGCGCCTTACTGGAGCAAACAAAAAGAAGAGACTCCACAGGCAGGATGAAGAAAATTTAACTGGTGAAAACAGTGTCATATCTCCTAGTGGACAGATTGTAAAGTTCCAGCCTTCACTGAATGAGGCAGCAAAGGCAATGCTGCACCAGATATTGAAGATGAATACATCACCTAGGTTGGAACCTTCGATAGATAATCCTGGTGCTTTCATGATTGATGGTGTTCCTCCTGATGCATTAGACAGCAGAAGCTCTTGCAGTCGTATTTCAGGAGTGACACTCTCAGAAGTCCCACCAGCTTCTGGGCAGTCTTATCTGCAAGCAGAATCAGGTTTTCCTGACACTTGTCCATCAACTGCCACTTATTTAACAACTGAGAATACTAAAGTGGATCAAATTTCTGAGATAAATATGCATAAATCACAGAAAGATGCAGTTTTTCCAGATGTTCCTCAAATGCAAGGGATTATGCCTGATAATGCTGTTGGACTTACTGATAGAAGTTTGGCAGGGTCTGAGAGAGGGAATGCAGATTACCTTGATCCAATTTCAGCTGTTTTGGATTGTCAAGTATCTGTAGAAACTGATGACTTGTCTGTGGATCATGATATGGACATCTTACTGGAAGGGAGCCCTAAGCTTCCAGCAATTAATGACATTTTCTGGGAACAGTTTCTTACAACAAGCCCACTCACTGGGGATACTGATGAAATTAACTCAAGTTCACTGGAAAATGGTGCAAATGGGGAGCAGGAAGCACTGTTAGGTCAGGAGAATGGATTAGATGGGATGCAACATATGAATCATCTTACTGAGCAAATGGGCCTCCTTACATCAGATAGCGGGAGGCTGTGATGTCCTACTAATTGTATATACGAGTTTAATGCTGTTATGAGGTAAATTTTTTAACCAACTATTCACCATACTAAGCTTGATGAGCAGGAATGCTATTCTCCAAAGATACCAAAGTTTGCTGATAATTAGGATAGTCTTTACTGACATAGTACTAATTATAGCAGCCATTTTCTGTCTTTCTTTCTGCTCATCATGGTGATAAATTTATTTTATAATTATCAAGAATGATCTACATCATATACAGCTTACGTTCTGAGTTCATGGTTTGTCATTTTCAAAGTTGCTCATATGACATAAAAAGAATTTATTAACATGTGTATTTATTTTACTAATTCCAAATCAGTAAACAAGGAAATGATATTTGTTTTAACATTTGATAATTCCTACACATCATTTACTGCACAGTACACAGACAAGTGGCTTGTTCAGAATCTTTTTCTTATCTTTAGGCTGCCGATTTTAATTGTCATTTTGAATTTGCTATCAGCACATGTAAGAGAAGGTATATCATTTTTGAGTTTTCAATTTTCTATGGTTTTTGCAGATGTTGATGATCTGTGATGCTGGCAAGAAAAAGCTTTTGTTCAAATAGAAACTTTTGTTGTTAAAGGAGCTATTTACGAGTTATATGTACTAATAACATAACTTACAACCGAAATGGTTATCCAAAGAAACATTAATAATGGTATATATGTTCTGCTTCTCAACTATATTGTCATCTTAGAAGTATGTTCTGCTGTGTCCCTGTTTTAGCCGTAGATGAATCTCAGGACATAGGCTTGAAATGCGATGCAGGAAAAAAAATTCTTTGGCTATTGCTCTATTTTCCCTGCTATACTCATCAAATGTTTGATTAGGATGCTCTAAATCCATCTCCTATGTCTATTTCTGCTTGAAGCATGTAATAACTTTTAAGCCACTCTCTATCATGAATGACTTAATGTACAAACGACCTTGAGAGGTTGACATGACAACCCCCCTCACTTCATCATAAAATGTAGTGAAGGGCAAAGTCTCTGGTCATTGAGATAGGAAAGAGATAATTGAAATATGGTAACATTGTGTCAATGATAGTGTGGAAAGTTATGTGAAGAAAGAGATGATCCCCATTTTAGGCTTTTTTATGGATTCCTGGTTGAAGCCCGTCTTTCATTCTTTCTGTGCTTTTGTTTTTTGATATGTTACAACTTGGACCAAATATTACTCAAGAATGCTTTTATCCCAACCAAAAAGTTAGTTGACTTGGATATCTTTTGTTTCGTGAAAAATGATTTTCAAAATTTTTTTTTCTATTTTTAGTTATTTGTTCGACGAAAAATTAATTGGTTTACAAAAAAGAATTTATTGATAATAAAAAATTAAATTATTTTTTTAAAAATTCTTTTACGGAATTAAAAATGGAAAACATTTTTAGAAAAAATATTGTTTGAATAGAATTATTTATTAATACTTTTGAATATAATTTTACTTATGAATAATATTATATTATAAATATTATATTAATATATTAATATTAATAAATAAATCATATTATACTAATAAATCATATATTAATAAATAATATTATAATATATTATTAATAAATATTATACTATTAATATAATATTAAGAAGTAATATTATAATATATTAATAAATAATATAAAAATAATTAGTTTATTTTTAAATATTTTATATTAACATAATATTTTATATTAAATATTATTATTAAAATAAAATAATTTTTATATTAATAATTTTAATAATAAATAATTTTTAATATTTTAATAATTATATTAATATTATTTTTAAAAATAATATTTTTCAAAAAATAAACAATCAACTAAAAATATTTTTCAATTCATCCAAACAACAAAAAATCTCTTTTAATTTAAAAAACATAAACATTTTTCAAAATTAATATTTTGCAAAATAAACAAAACCTTATTTTGTTCATTGGTCTTATTTTTCTTTTTTTTTTAGTTAATTTAATTTTCTATACTTGATATAGTTTATGATGTATATTACCGAAAATTATTTTATTATAATTGTAATTTTTAATTGTTTTCGCAATCTCATAAAAAGTACAAAAAGAAAAAGATTGTCTCACTAACAAGAACAACTTATTTATGAAATTTTGAACCAAAAAGGGAAGGTAATGACAATTTGATATGCATGGGAATAGAAATTTGGAGAGGTCGGTGAGAAATTACATACTAAAACAAATGGTGTTTCCACCCATATTTCCTACATTAATTAATTTTTTGCATTTCACTCGAACAAACTTCATGCCAATAATTACAAACAATAGAAGAGGCAAAAAAAAAATTATTTTGAAATTTATTAATGAGGCAAGGTAGTAATCTATTAACAAGATTTGCTGCAAATCTAAGAGCCTCCAGGGAGGATCTTACCTACGGTATCAAAAATAGTACTAGCACACATTACACTGCCTGCGATGAACTTTGAGCTCGAGACACCGGATCTGTTGCTTAAGCCACAACAACTATGATGAAAATGAGGAGAATGATCCCAAAGATTAACAAAAGCAAACACCTCTGCATTAATGAGTCATAGGTTAATCTTTTTTTTTTTTTCCTTTTAATGTCACAAATTTGTTCACAAAATGCAAACATTGATCAAACTTGGTAGAGTAAAAATAACTATTTAAGTTATTCCTATAAACAGTTTTAAATATCATCCACCATGAGCTTAATTTAGGAAAATACGAAGCTGAAGAATTATTTTTTGTGAAACAACTATAATTATGACTAAAAATTGGTAAATAAATGATCGGATCGAGTTAAGAACAAAATTGATGTGAAGAAGACTGATATTTTAGCTCATAAGATTGTTATTTTGATTTATGCATTCAATTAATTTCATTTTGTGTAAAAAACCAATAACCTAACTGACCACCATTTCCCCGCTTGACATTTCAGGAAACGAAACTGATATTATTCTAAATAAAAAATAAATAATTTTTTTATTATCTATTAATATGTGCTCTACCGACCTAGAGATGCTGACAAGGATGTCAACAAACAACAGGCCAATGATTGATGATGACAAGGGCGCATAGCAATCATTTTAATTAACTTATCATGTCTTTTTTTTTTAAGAGACTTATCATGTCTTATCAGCTTTTATAAATGAAACCCAACGCCAACAGTTAACAATGTAGACTTAAGCAGGAAATATGTTTTCCTGTGGAGCAAGGGAAAATGATTAGGATAAACCAAACTTACTGTGGATGAATTTGCTCTCTGGATCTTGGATGCTTTTTTAAGATGTGAAGTAGCTAGCACGGTTGCAGAATGGGAATTCTCAATGTTCGAACCAATATCATCTGCAAGGAAACCATGCTCAACCGCTTGTTACATTAGCAGCCAAAGCTTTGGAGAAACTTGAGCAGAAAGTGAAATATTCCAACAGAAGTAAATAAAGGACACAAGTTTTACCAATCATGGCTCCTTGCTCATGGACCAAATCTGCTAGATCTTTGAAAATCTCATTCACTTCACTAATCTGTTGCTGAATTTCTTTGATCCCCTGATCTCTTTCTTCAATAATAGCTTCATTAAATGTGATTTCATTGTCCAAAAGTACAACTTCTTGTCTGCTAAGAGAAAATATTTTAACAATTATAAGCATTTAGGGGAAAATGAATTAAATATTTTGGAAGGCAGGTCCATATTATACCCATCTCTCTACGGAAACTCAAGCAAGTCAATTAATGAAAAAGTTAAAAGGAAAAGAAACAAGTATAACGAAAATAGCTTTGCCCCATGATCGCTTGCAATGACAGTGAAGTAAGCATATCGCATCTCCAATAACAAAGAACATATTTGAAGCCAAGCCACCCCCATTTAAAGCCTCAAAGAAGGATACTACAGTAATCCAGGCCATTGTTTTGGGCCAAGTTACTCAAGAAATCATCAAAATGAATCTCATGATAGCAACATGTTAAACAGCAATAAGTTCTGGAAGTGACAGTTTACTCTTTAGGATGGGAAAAACAGAGGTAAAATTCTATCTAAAAGATCATGGAATTACAAACCATCAAATAGAATTTCTTCAGCAACATCAGTCACAGAGTTAAGCAGAAGAATCTCACCCATTTATCAAAATATTCTACAATATAAGCAACATTTAGGCAAGATAAAAAATTGCCACCTCAAAAGAGTGAAACAGTTAATGTAGAAAACATTTTTTGAAAGCAACTAAGCTGAAAAGAATAAATAAGTGTTACATTATCACAAAACTCAAGATTCTCAACCACACCAAAACGAAGTTTGACTAATTTAAAAATAGAAAGCTAGCGCCAATAAGTAATGGCTTCATAAAAGGAGGTTATATCATCAATGTCCCATGTAAAAACTGCTCACCTTTTTGATACCAGAAGAGCTTGCTGCTCTGCACTCTTAGATGAATTTATCTCCCCCTCATGGGCAGCATAACTGCACATGTTCAATAAAGATTTAACATAAAGCACAACAGTCATGTACAAAAAAATAACAGCTCAGTAGTAATTAAATAATAGACAATATGGTCAACCTCGTACTGACTAAAAGTAGCTCAAAGAAGCTTGTGGGATTCCAAAAGTAATACCAACACCTCTCGTGAGTCACTATATCACATTCCAATTTCACGTTTGCTATTCTTCAACAGCAATAGAAAGATTACAAAGAAAAGTTAATAGAAACTTGTCCAAGTCGTTTTTTCAGTATCTGTTTCAATTTAATATGCTTGAATTTTTCAAACGCCAGAATGGATTTTCCTTTTTCACATTTTGTTGTTACTAGATGTGCTTAAAATGCAATGTAGAAACCCATAAGAAGGTTGGTTAACTTTCACACCATAAAAGAAGACGAGATATTTGTACCCAGACCCAAACAACCTGCAATCACATGAACATGCACATATGCACGTGTATATTGACAGATTCATGCATGCATATCTTTCTCTACAATCTGCAGGATGTGTATTCATGCAGGTGTTGCTGTATACACATAAGAGTAATTTCAGTGCTACTAAAAGTTACCTGGAAGGAAGAACTTCTTTAGGAACAAAAGGAGTATATGCTGTTTCCCTCTCAGCAGCAAGCCTTTGAGCCTTCTGAAAGTCTTTAAGAGCTGACTGAAAGTCTTTCGCAAGCTTAGCATCAGCAATCTTCTTTAAGGGCTGCAGTTCAATGAAAAAATTGTCACGTAACAAAATGTAAACCACCACTTTCTTCCTAAAACAAGAAATAAAATACCACTACTCTCATCAAGAACAAGTATAGCAGGGAGGAATAACCAAATTCCAAAAACCAATTTAGTCAAAAAATGGGAAGATAAAAACATATGTAGATAAAGAAGGAGAAGCCAACAAGTAAACCAGTGTCATCGAGGGCAACCAATGCACTTGTCGAAGCGCTCGTGAGAGGTTAAACACAATAAAGGTGTCTTATAACCCCCCAAATAGGACTTACTTACCGGTCATGAGACGTTAAACACAATACAAGTGTCTTAGAACCCCTCAAATAGCACTTACTTGAATCCTTATACCACAATTCTTTTCACTAACATATGATCCAGTTCTATCTTTTTGGGAAAGATGAAAGAAAAAAATATAAATCAGATGAACTTACACTGACTTCAGCATCCTGATCAGCTTCAGTTGCTTCCCTTAGTTTAGCTGAAGTCTCTTTGACCAGCTGCCTGATATGTAGCCTTGTCTTATGCCTGTCAATGAAAACATCAAGATAAGCTATGCAATAGGAGATAACCGGCTCTCATCCACGTCTATCCCAAGATTCATATCCAAGACATCTAGTTGAAGTCTCAAGTTCTAACCTCGGGAACATGAAGGGCAAAAAAGCATTAATCATGCAAGAATCCATTCATTCTACCAAACTTCAAGAAATGAAACAATAAGAAGGCCAAGTATATTACACAACGGAAGTTCAAAAAACACAGAAAGAAGGTCCAAAATTATATTCTTTAATTCAATTTCGAAACAAGCTTAAAGTAAAAGCAAGAGCTAAATACATTTTTGCTTTTGCCTCCATAATTTATATGGTCAATTTTAGTTTTATATAACCAAAAAAAAATCTCTAAAACAGTAAATCAATTTAATAAAAAATAGAAAAACCCATATTCCAATTTTTAAAAAAGAAAAGAAAAAACAGGAAAATTGTAAGTAAATTAATCATTAGATAAAAAATAAAAAATCCAGAAAGAAAGTCCAAATTTATGTTCTTTCAATAACCCAAATAATTTATATGGTCAATTTAAGTTTTATATAACAAAAAAAAAAAAACAGCTAAAAAGGTAAATCAATTTAAAATGTCCCCATCGAAAAAAAAAAGGAAAAAAAAAAAGAGAAAAACCTATACTTTAATTTCCAAGAAAAATTAAAAAAATTTTAAAAAAACTGATTTTTTTTAAATAAACTTACAAGTTGTTGCGTAATTGAAAGGTGTCCTTAGGGGTACCAAGGGAATTAACAAGACGATCAAAGCCCAAAATAGCAGTTCTTATTTTGAAAATCCCAACCGCCACGGACCGCGACGCCGAAGCCTCTCCTTTTTCTTGCCTCAGCTTTTGCCGAGAAGAATTCAAGTAGTTGTTCTGCTGCGGCCTAACAAAACCAGCTTCAAGATCCTGGAAACTCATTTTTTTTCTCTTTTCCTTTTTTCCTTGAAATCTAAGGAAATTGGTTAGAGAAAGACAAAAGAAGAGTAATGAAGGAAGAAACAAACAGGGGAATGCTGGAGAGAAAGCAAAAGCCAAAGAATGCTAAACAAAGAAAGAAAGAAATGGCGTAGTGTTGATGAAATATTTTCAATTAAATTAAATTAATATATATAAAAAACATTTGTTTGGTGTGGCTGGAGTTGTAGCAGCTGCTCAAGTCAAACTAGGCAGATTGACGAGGTTTCCGTGGGCCCTCGCCATTTTTCTGGTCTCCGTTTTGGGCTTCGACAACAGTTGAGCCCTTGGCCCATAAATTTTTTTTTTAATTTTGGTAGGTAAAAATACTTTTTAAACAAAATAAAATAGGCTGAGTGACCGAATGAAATTTTTTTTTATACTCAATTTAATATAATCTTATAAAGTCGACGACATAAAAGTTGAATAATCCATAGCTTAAATTTTAATTTGATTAAAATAATAATAATAATTTTAAATAAATAAAATAACTGTATTATTTGCACACCTAAAATTGCTTATTCTTTGGGGAAAAAAAAAAGTTGATCAATTCATTTACAAATAAATTAAACAAATCCAAATAAATGATGTCATGAAAAAAATTTTTTGGTCAAATACGTACTTTTCATTGTCATGGTAGCATATAAGTTTTCCATGATTATCAATCAAGTTGACTTTCAGCATTTTACAATGATATGTCAAAAGATAAGTGCTGAAAGTCCATTTTTATTAAGAGCGTCGAATAAGAAGTAAGGGGTCATATTCACCCAATTTAAATTGCACATCCACCTTTTCTACCATTCAGTCTGTCGCTATCAATCTGTACGAATATGACTTCTTCAAATTGTTTCATTTTTCCTTTAATTTTTATTATTATAGGTAAATTAGTGAATGATATATTTATATAGTATAAAATATTAAAATTTATATATTTATATTATATTTTATATAATAATTATATATTATAATTTATGTTGATATAAAAATATAAAATATTTTTTTAAAATTTTATTAAAATTATATATAATTTTTATTAAAATTTTAAATTGATCATATTTATATTATATTATTGTATTATATTTTAAATTATAAAATATAATTATGAAATATAACCTCCATATACACTTTTACTTGCTATATCATGGATATCCTTATGTACCACCTCTGAATTAGTTTCTACAATGACTAATGTATATGTTTGCCAAGGCCCACTCAACTCCCTTAATGGTTAAGGCTTCAACCACCGCGCTAGAGCCAACCTTCACCTTTTTCCCCAAACCCGCTACGAGCTTATCATTCTCACCTCTTACAACCACATCAATCTCCGTGTCTTTAGTTTCTCTGTCACACGCCCCATCACAGTTGACCTTTTTCCACCTATGTTTTGGGCAACACCCTCCTTTGCTCCTTACACCCATCCTATGGAACCGATCTATACCCGTTGAAATTTGATTCAATCTAATTTTATAAATAAAATTTTAAATTAATTTTTAAATCAAATCGAATCAAATCAAATTACATGTAAATTTTGATGTAATTTAGTATATTTTTATTATTTATTTAATTTTATATTATTTTTAAAAAATATTTTATATTAAAATATTAATTTTTTATTACAAATTAATTATGAATTTAAATATATACGAATTGAATTCGAGACCAATAAAAATTGGTCACTTCGATCCAATCTTATCTTTACTCTCTCGTTGCACCTGTCTATGTGCATCTATATCTCTTATCCCCAATATTTAAGCTACATGTCTATTGATAATCAAGATGATCAAGATGAGTCAGATTGAAACTAGCTCATTTTTTACAAACACAGCCTTGCAGTTACACCTGGCCTTTTATATGTTCCAACAGGTTACAGTTATCACACTCCTTATCTGCTGTATTTGATCCTCATCCATTTCAGACAAATTCATCATTGAAAATATTTGCATTCTATCAACCTTATACCCTATACCCAATCCAAACTCTATCCCTGAAACTCATTCACATAATAGCTTGGCATGTTCAATGGATTCATTTTCGCTTTGGCGAATAGGACATAAAGGCACAAATTATAAAAGCAATCGAGGAAGTATAAGGAAGGAGGGAATGGTTTGGCCAAAGCTATGTGGATGGTAAGTATGTGAAGGCCGAATACCACATACTGAAGGATGCCGAGGAGTTGATTTGGTACTTTGTCTGTAATACCTAAAATTAACCCTTTCTTGTGGAGAGGTTGTGGTTACAATATTGCCACAATTTTAAATTTACGGAGAAAGAAGATAAGATCATCACCTTGATGTGATGAAAGATCATTTTAATCAGGTATGATTGTACATATGAAAAATGAATATAAAAATAATATACTTTAAAATTTTGATAAAAACTATACATAAAATAAAATAATATATTTTATTAATATCGATATAAATTGTAATATAATAATTTTTACATTTTATATATATTTGACTCAAAATAAAACACAGCATATATAAATAAATTGCCAAATTTAAATGGAACACATGATAACATCCCTTCTCTAACTAAGAAAAATAGAAAATTTAAATCTATTAAACTTATATTTGTACATAAACGGGTTTATATTGACTCCATATTATAATTAACCCTTAATAAAAGTTGATTTGTAACCCCAATTTTGAATCTGGCACACGTAAACCAATAATTTTTCATAGAATTGAAGAATAATTGTAAAAAGTAATCAATTACTAATTGTGAATACGATAGGACACATTAAACTAAGATCAAAATGCTGAAGAAAATTCTATAATAAATGACATGACTCAAATTGGAACTATACTAGTCAGCTTCTTGATGCTCTTTCGTGTTTCATCTTGAAAAAAATAAATACATGATTATGTAAAAATCTAAAAACAATTTCAAAGATACATGATACAAGTCCAACAGGCTCAGGATGGATGATACAGGATTCAACTCTTGAATCTGATGCTCCTACTGATTCCTATATTGATTCCAGAAGTTTCTCCTCCATATTGACCAGCTGGTTTCCTAATATCCCGCACCTGACCTTTACGTTGTTTCTCTCGTTTCTTGCTTTGCAACTGTACATGGCAGGAAAAAAAGGAGAGAGAAACATGAATCGACAATTCATACATTGAAGTAATATATCAAATGGAAGGAATCAAAATTTTCTGCCAAAATACCCTGTATTTCTTCCTTGGGTTTTTGGTGTTTTTATTCCGTTGACGAGTCAAACCTCTATTCTTCTCTATCTGTTGCAAATTGACAGATTATGAAGTTAGTTATGAAGCAGTGAAGAAACGACAACCGACTCATACAGGAAATGAGGCAAGAACCTGATGAGTTATCTGCCGTTTTCCATCTACAGTTTCAGGTAACGTTGGGGGAGCAGAGGTCCTGTAAAAGAAACACATTATACAAGGACTGGTTTAAATCCAAATTTTATTGAACTTTGGCAGCTGAAAGATTTACATTTTGTTGATAAACAAAAACAGGCACGCATACTCAATCATCTATTATGCACATGCACTAAGCAATAGCTTGGAGCTTATCCATACTATTGGATGTAGAAAGACAATAGAAGCAAATCTAACTGGAATACTGTATTACCTACATACCCCCCAAAAGAAGAGTAATAGTTAGGTGCAGTGCAGAAACTTACCTTGTATATATCTCAGCCTTTGCAGCAAGTTTTGCTGCCCTTTGTTGCTTCACTTGTTTATAAAATTCATCTTCTGAATCTTCTGTGTCTTCTGTATCTTCTGTATCACCATTCTCCTCCTTCACAGAAATACCTCCATCATCCTCAAAAGTATCGTATTCACCTCCATGGTCATCCTCAGATTTAACTGCTGCTCCTGCCAGTACTCTGAGCTCATGTTTCCTCCGCCTTTCTCCAATATCATCTCTCTTAGGTAAATCATCATCACCAGATACAACCTTCTCAACAAGAAAGAAGGGAGGGACAGGAAAAGAGTTAGATGATCCAGGGTACAAATGAATCATGATGAAAGGTTACTATGCAAACGCTAACAAAGCTAATTTTTTCTTTTAACGTGGAGCATATATAGAGAGAGGTGTCTGGTTTCCACTTCCTGCATCAATTCCTTTGTAAATTAATTTCTTGGTTGGTCTAGCAAGCATCGGCCAAAGTCAGGGAAGAAAAGCAAAAAAATTGAAGAAAAATAAAACCTTGTGCTGCTTGATCCAAAGGAAAACAAAAAGGGAAGGGGTAGAATTTTCTGCATATCCACTGAACTGTGCATGCTCAAACAAGATCAACTGACAATGCAAGTACAAGAAGGAAGCCTAAACAGTAAAAATTTTCAGCCTCTTCCTACAAGATTTAAACTATGGCCTTCAAGATTGCTACCAACTAGAGGTGGCAAAAGCTGAACTAAATTTACCGTAAAAGTCAGCAACTTGAAGCAAAAATCTAACCCAGATCAAATTGTTATCAGCTACATGTCAAGTTGAACCAAACCCAAAAATGACAGGAAAGGACAAAATTCAAAAAGTGACTTGATCTACCCAATTGCTACCACTAACATAAACACATGCTTGACTAGAAGAAAGGCTGACACTAAAAATAACACACTGTTCTCAGTAGCTAGCAAACCAAGCACAAAAAATTTATAGGCTTGTTCCCATAATGAGGTCAGTGATGCTGGCTCAATGCACTTGCTACTTCCAAGGGCATTAAAGACAGATTTCTAATTTATCTTAATATTAGACTGGACATAAAAAAGGAGGAAATCATGTTGAGATTTATACCTTGGACTTATTCTGTTTAGCAGTAATAAGTTGGGTAATTTTATTAGAATGCTGTGAGATTGCATGCCCATTACTTAATCCACGAGCACCTCCTTCAGCATCAATAACATCATCAGCAAAATCATCATACGTTTCAAGCTGTCTGTCAAATCCCAAGTTGAATGAATTAGTACTTAATACTGTCGAAAGGATAATAAATTACAAAACAAGAGAAAAAAAAGCAGTACCTATTCACTAGTTTCACATGTTTCTTGGTTTTATCAGGCTTTTGGATGTTTGAACTAAAAATTCCCTTCTGCTTCAATTTTTCCTCAAGAGCTGCTCTAACTTTTAACATTTCCCTGCTCTGCACACCAACTTGATCATTCTGCAATTTTTATTTTGGGAATCTCAAGTAATATATATCTCTATCGTTACATAGCAGACACAAAGAAACAGAAGGAAATATGAATCCCATTGGAGAGAAGGGTGAAACGATGTAAGGCAAAAAGAAAGGAGAGAGAAAAATCAGCAGCAGTAGTAGGCACATCTCACCTCACGTTTAAGTTTCACTCCCTTGTTGTTCTGGTTACTTGCAGAGTCCAATTTTAGCAAGTTAGGTGTGCCTTCAGGCTGATGCATGAAATGAGAAATCAGATGACAGGAAAAATACAAGAACCTAAAAGACATGTTACATACAGACAACACTAATGTAACTTTCACTACCTCTGCCACTTGTACATCCCTTACTAGTGATGGACCATGACCCTTCGTGCCAGAGTCAGATACCAGTTCAGCATTCTCTTTAACCAAGTTTTGTCCCATTTCAAACCCTTTATTCTTCAGAATCTCCTCCCATTCAGAAGGAAGATTTCCATCAAGTTGTTTCACCTGTTAAGTGGAGCAAGCATTAGAAAGAGGAATACAGTAACTCTAGTAACAAATGAAGCAGCCTTAATATAACAGCAACAACATGTAACTCGCTTAGAATAAAAGAAAAATAAAATAAAATAAAAAGCAGAAAGGGTGTATTGTTTGGATGGGTTAAGGACAGTAAATAATCTACTTAGAAGTGCAGCTAGTAGCGAGCTAGCATTTCCTTTGAGGTACAGCCAACTAGTATTAACCACTTGATTTTGCAAAATAACCAAAGCAAAAGAATACCATAAGTTGTCAGTTCTATTGCTACACATACAAGCCCATAAATACAAGAAAAGACACTCAAAGATGAATAGCAAGCCACCTTGCCTGCAGGTCATGCATCTTGCCTCTTCAACACAACACAGAATAAATTCATAAATCTAGAAAATAATATTCACTTTTCAAGGATAATGACCTTATCAAGTAAGCCTTGAATCTCCACAATACGACCTAAGACAGGATGATCACGAACAGGCTGCCCTTCAGACTTGAGAAGAAGATAAAAGGTTATTGCTTGACAATAGGCCAGCAGAAGGATTTGTTTCACTTCCAAATAGCGCATCCCACCTTCCAGAAAGATCTTCCCTTCTTTAGCCTTCAAAATACATAAAATACTTTAACATGTACATGAAACGTACAAAGAAAAAGAGGAGTCTGAAATTATGTTACATCCAAAGTCTGAAATTATCCTTTAAAGCAAGAAAAATTTTTCAACTCCATCATAAGGGTTAGAGGGTTGACAGATGGCCATTAGGGTATATTAATGAAAATTAATAAATTATTAGTTTCTAAATGGAAATATCGCAACCATGTAACCTTGCTTGTGGATTATCTCAAACTACATGATTGAAGTTTCTTAGACAAACGCAACGTGCACAAATCAAGCAGCCAAATGCAATTGGAAGATCAAGCATAAAATTACCCTTCTATTTGAAAATAAAAGTAACAGATGAGAAGAACAAGAATACCTTCCTTAAAACTGGATTAACTTTGCTTTCAAGCTCTTCAAGTGCAGCATTCAGCTCTGACAATAAGCCAATTAATTCTGGTGCAGAACTGATGAGCAAAACTATTAGCTTATAAGCCATGAGGTAAGAATAAGAAAAACCAAGCAACCATTGTCCAACCCCATCCCAAAAAAAACATAAAAGGTAAATATCTGATCCATGTAATATAATAACTAAGAAGAATTTTTCTAGTTAATAAATTGATTAAGGTTTTCATCAACCAAAAAAAAAATGATTAAGGCATACTACTTAGACATATGTAGATTCAGAACTAAAAAAAAGTCTATCTAATCTCAAATTTCAAAGAAAATCCAAAAAAAAAATTATCTTACAAGCTCATTTATTCCATGTAGTCAGAGAGACAAAGACCTTCCATGAACCAATTACGTTATCAAAGGGACAATTAGACAAGAAGCATTGACAGAATGAAAAGCTTTACAACAAGAAGATAAATAAACATGAGACACGAACAAAGATTAAATAATTAACAAACAGATACAAAAGGATATCTAACAAAGCTTACAGACACAACACTTCAAGATGTTGATTTGGGGCAGTGGGTGATTATTGAAATAATCGGAATATGAATGAAAGTTATAAAACATACCAAACAATGCAAGTGTAAAATAAAACTACCAAAAAAAAAAAAAACCACACCTGTGCACCACATCCATCTGCTCTTCCTTTGACAAAGCATTCAAATCCTTCTTGACCTTCTCAAATGTAGCCAGGTCATCCACAGCTTCTTCACTATCTAGGGATAATTTTCCACCTTTTCCTTTGGCTGAAATTTTCTGTACCAGAACCATTTGCTCAGTGACTGAAATCTTTAAAGTTCACATGTCCTTTCTCAAGAAAATAATGTTTTCATGTCAAAATTACAGGATAGAGAGCAAGCCTCACCTCTAAGGTCAATTCTCTATTAGTCTCATCTTCACTAGCATCTTCAAAGCCAAAGTCTTCAATTGATAAATTTTTTGCTCTTTCCTTCAGTATTTCTTTCACCTCATCCTCCTCTTCCATAGGAGCCTCATCATCACTTGAGTGCAACTTCAAAAGCACATCAAACAATAAATCAAAATCTTTCATCTATTTCAAAAGACAATACATGAAAGCATCTTCAAAGGAAACTTGGTTATTCACAAACGACCATACTTGAAAATTAGGTGTTGGCAAAAAATGGAGTCAAGTAAACAAGATAGAAGGAACTGGAAAATTGGAATTCAAATTCTTACCTCAAAATCACGATTATCACCACCATAATATCTGCTCTTTATTCCACCCCATGGAGCCATTTCTTCTTTCTCATCCTCATCATCATCTTCTTCACCATGCATTTCATCCTCAACTCCACCAAACTTTGCTCTCAAAAGTTTATGTTGCCTTGCAACTGCAAATCACATGAAATGAGTAATTGATAGAAATGTATCTCCAACCAAATGTAAACTACAAATACTTGTAAAAGCTGCATCAGAAAATAAAGTAGATATATCTACCTAAAATATCACCATCAAAATCATATGGAACTGAGGAAAAGAAGCAAAGGGGAAAATCTATATAACTTAACCAGTTTCTTCTTAAAAGCAGCACATATTTCAGAAGCATGGAAAGTATAATAACAATAAAAGCAATGGAGAGACAGAGGGAGGTCCATTAGTACGGCCGAAACATTAGGCACTATTCTTCTAAACCATGACTGAAGAATCTAAACCGCAAAATCACACATAAGAAAGCAATTATATAGCTATGCACATTAAACAACTTTATTATGTTAACTCATAGTTCAAATGAAAAGGAAAGGAAAAAATTCTAGCATCTTAATGTAAAAAAATGCAAATTAATCATTTTGCATTCTTGTAATTAAAGTTGTTTAACACGTATGCCAAATTGTCGTTGTGATAGCATCAAAGAAATGCAACCAACTGTAACTTATTCTTAACTATCTTCTTACTTTTTGCAGCAAACTTAGAAACTTGGGCATCATCAATATCATCATCATCTCCCTCCTCATCCTCCTCCTCGTCATCGTCGATATCCTATACATGGAGAAACAATGACACAACAAACAAGAGTCGAATAGAAAATGAAAAAATATTCTATCAGAATTCTTGATAGTGTCGCCGATGACATTTTTTAACCTCTCACTATCAAGTACAACTTGTCATCCTCACTCAATCATTTCCAAACTTGATTCTTTTCTGATTCTTTTCTATGTTAACGTGTAGAAAACAGAAAATTTTCTCTTTTTTAACTGGTTTCATTCCTAACGTTCTTTAAAATGTATAAAACTGATTAAAAATAAAAAAAATGCAACCTCAATTTACAAAACAGACACCGACACCTGATACGTAAAGTGAAATTTTTAGTTAAATGAGAATATTTTGACATTCAAAGTTTGATAATGAAATGAAATAAGGGAAAAATGAGAACCTGAAGATCAAAAACAGGATGTTCATAATCTTCATCTGAATCTCCAACATCCCCATTCATATCCAATGGAACAACATCCCTTTGCTTATGAACTTCAAAAAGAACAAATACACGATTTTAAAAAGAGAAAAAATGAGTGGAAATATAAATAATTTACGAAAAAAAAAACTGAAATTGAACTTACAAACATCAATTTCGTCATCGACGTTTTCAGCTTCAACAGCATCGTCGTCTCGATGTCTTCTCTTAGGGTTTCTCTTGTCTTTCTTGAAGCTCTTTCCTCTCTTTCCCATTGCTAGGAAATCTAATTTCTTGGTGTATGAGTTTAATTCAAAAAATTTGATTCCGGTTGAGTATTTTGTATTGATCGTAAATGGAGGTAACAATGATTCTGTTTTGTAACACCCCTTTTGAAAATTGAGAGAATTGGGATTCGTGGCTAGGGTTTATGCTCAAGAGTTTGGAGAAATAGTTGGGTTGGATGCTAAAAAACGGACAAGCCCAATTCAATTCAACCTTCGAATTAATTTTTTAGGCATACCTTCGAATTTAATTAACAGCCCATGTTCATCATTAGAGCCCGAAGAGCCCAATACCAACATTTTCTGTTAAGAGTGGTAACTGTTTAAAGATAATGAATAATATTATAATTTTTAAAATTTAATCTGAATTCGATGAACAAAATTTTATCGATTTAATTTATTGAGTTTTAAATTTTAAATTTTTATATATTATTTTAATAAAATTTTAGTATATTTAAATAATTTATATAAAAAATAATTATTTATTTTTCATATATATAATTAATAAAAATATATAATTTGATTTAATTTAATTTTTTTTATTTTTTTTATTTTAATATAAAATCTAATTTAAATTTAATATGTATATTTAATATTCAAATTTTTATCTAATCAACTAAAAAAATGCAATTTCAACCTAATCAAATATTATAATTTTAAATTATTTTTTTAATTTTTAAAATTTTCTCTCTGTTTTTTCCGCCTGAGAAAAAGCCAAAACAGAAATAATTTTCCATGAAAAAAACAAGCAATTTGATTAGGGAAAATCGAAAAAGACATCATTCCAATTTCAATAAAAAAAAAAAATTGAATCTCGAAAATGAAAACCCCCGCACCGTGTTCCTTTACGTTCACACGTCAACCCTCAAATCCTCTATACCCGACTCTACTTAAACCTTATAATAATCACGCTTCTCATCTTGCACAAATACCCCCAAAATACCCACAGTAGCGCTTCAAATACGACACATTGAATAAGGTACAATTATCTATAGCATGAAAATTGAAGATCTATGTTAGGGTATCCACGAAATATATTTATGGTCCACCCCGCGACTTCATTACCACCATAACTTCTCCCTCCCCCAGAAAAAATTTTATTTCCTTTAAATTTTGTGAAAGAAAGGAAAGAGAAAAGATTTTTCATTTTCGGTGAAGAAAGATTCGATCTCCTTTGCCTTAAACGGAACTTCATGGCGGTTAGTGCAATTGTTATGGTTGTTTTTCTCTTCTTTTTTTTTTCTAATATCGTCTTTGGTCGGCAAAAAGAAAATTTAGGACAATAAGGAAAAGAATTTATATTTTCCAATTCAGTTTCAACTTCAAGATCTCAGTTATTCTTGTTCTAATATATATCAGTAATTTGGTTATTTTTTTCTTTTTATCGGTTTTTTTTTTAATTTCATCGAAAATTGAAGAGAATTTATAATTTTTTTAAAAAATTATTTAAGGTCTCATTTATCATAAGGATATAATCTAATCTGAGTTTAGCATTCTGCCATTATCATGCATCTGATTTTTTTTATTTCGTTATATAGTAGTATCATTTACTCCGGTTCTTACCGATTTTATTATATATTTTCTTATTGTGTTCTTTTTATAAATATTTTTGTACTTAATTGATAAAGAATTTCTTGATTATATCTTTTTTGGATTTGTATGCCAACGATTCATGGATCTGTTTGATTTCATTTCGTGCGTGCATAATAATTTTGTATGCTAATTAGGAATTTATTAGGGTTATTAAAAAGTGATAATTTGCAGGACTTAACTATCGCTAATTTGAAATTAATATTGAATTATCTTAATGTTTGCAAGCGCGTGTGTGATTATTATCTAAGATGTTATCTTTCTATGAGGTTGAAACCTAACGGAAATTTTGTTTTGCATTTAGCCTACAAAGAATGGGATTGAAGATGCTTAATCTGTTTTGGGGTTTATGAGTTTTTTTTTTTTTATATATATATACAGATTCAATCAGTGAAAGTGGGCAACGTTTCCTTGGGTGCGTCTGAGCAAGATATTAAGGAGTTCTTTTCCTTCTCTGGTGAAATTGAACATGTTGAAATGCATGGGTTAGTTATTACCAAGATATTTAAGTTTCTCTGTCTCTTTTTTATTTGCACGCTCTTCTCTACTGTATGGGATACAAAGAAAAGAGGTGAAATTTGATGAAACTACTTCTCCTGTCTGCTGACCCATGTAGCTATACAAGTATAGTGATGTTCTAAATTTTGTAAATGCTATCTGGTCCTGGTTTCTTACTGCTTTCATTTTTCGTTTTCCTTTAAGTGAGAACGAGCGATCTCAAGTTGCATATGTTACTTTCAAGGACCCACAGGGAGCAGAGACTGCTGTTCTTCTTTCAGTACACAACTATCTCATTTCTTTTGAGCTATTCTATATTGATTGTATTAATTTTTTTTTCACTGACTTTCCAGCATGCATCACATAATTGAAGTTTATGCTTTTATTAGAAGGAAAATGGTCTGTCTAACAGATATGGGAATTAAATGTCTATAAATCTTTTGTGGTATCTAATGTGTGATGTGCTTTTGAAAGTGAATACTTAATGCATTGCCGGTGGGATCACTATGCCAATGCCCATTCTGTTTAAAGTACTTTATCAGTTAAAAAGATAACAACCATTGCTACTAAAAGATATCTGTCTTTGAGGTAAGATTTGCTAAAGACGTACATAAATCCTTGTATGTATTTGACTGAGTATTTGGAAACCATTGCTACTAAAAGATATATGCCTTTTAGGTAAGATTTGCTGAAGACTTTTGTAAATCCTTGTATTCATTTGACTTGGTATTTGGATTTATATATTGAATTCACACCATGCTTCTGTTTTATGATAATTGATTTAAAGGAACTGATCAAATCTAGTTCCACATTTGAATTGTGTTTAAAACCTTTGTGGCCGAAGTTTCAATTTGTATGTTTTGTTCCATCTTGTGAACAGTTTATTTGATTTCACAAAAAATCATGTTGGCCATTTGGAATCATGTGGTAAAACAGCAGTTATTCTGCTATAGCTTGCATTTAGTTCCTCAATGTGCCACTTTGTGTTATCTGTTGCTATCGTGGTTCAAGTTGTATTTATTTTTATCTCCCTTGTCCTTTTTGTTGGGTAGAATCATAATCTTTCATAGCAAGATCAGTTTGACTTGATTTTTATTCGTTAAATCGTTCTTCCCTTGTTGCATCTACTGTTTTTCTTATATAAGGGAAAAAGTAAAGAGGGAAAAGGGAAGAGCCTAAAGGCTAATGTTGGTTAACTTTTTCACGACAGAGCAGTTTTCCCTAAAGGCTAATGTTGATTGATTGGATAGAAGCTTTTTATTTCATTCTTATGAATTCAGGTTACATGGTTTTCTTCAGGGGGCAACAATTGTGGATCAGTCTGTTACCATAGAGCTGGCTCCTGATTACAAGCCACCTGCTACTGCCTCTGCAACACCTGTAATGTTGTACGGCAATCTGCTTTGATTTCACTTACTAAATGATGATTTCTAATGTGAATGAATTGTTTGATCACCTCAGGCAACAGAGAACAAAGGTGCTGGAAAGGCTGAATCTGCAGTCCAGAAGGCAGAGGATGTTGTAGCCAGCATGCTAGCCAAGGGATTCATTCTTGGAAAAGACGCAGTGAGCAAAGCAAAGGCCTTTGATGAGAAGCATCAGTTCACATCAACTGCCACTGCCAAAGTTGCTTCTCTGGACCAGAAGATTGGTTTTACTGAGAAAATTAGTGCTGGCACAACCATGGTGAATGACAAAGTGAGGGAAATGGACCAGAAATTTCAGGTTTCTGAGAAGACCAAGTCTGCATTTGCAGCTGCTGAGCAGACAGTCAGCAATGCTGGTTCTACTATCATGAAAAATCGTTATGTTTTAACTGGAGCCTCATGGGTTACTGGTGCATTCAACAAGGTTGCTAAGGCAGCAGGTGATGTGGGGCAGAAGACAAAAGAAAAAGTTTTGGCTGAGGAGGAACAAGCTCACAAACCGGAGGGCTATGCACCGATTAATGTGTCTGAATCTTCCAAAGCTGCTAAACCTGCTACCAGTGAGCAACCTTCCAATCCCTCATCTGCACAAGGTTTAATCCTTTAATTTGCAAACGACTGTAAATACCAGCATGAACAGTATGGATCATGTCATCTGAGTTCTGCTTTCTAGTTTGGACATGGTTAAATGTAGGATAGTATGTCGCATATTGTTTGATATGTTTGCTACACTTGACTTTAAGAAATAATAATAATAATAATAATAGATGCCAATTTTAGCATCAATTTCTCTCATATATGCCATTTTTATTCATATTCATCCCTTCTGCACTTCACAATAGTGTCTTTGTCATTCATGTGTGCATGCTCATAAGATACCTTGAATTGTCATCCCCTACCTCTGCTACTACTTTCCATATTTCTTACTTTCAAATTATCACTGAACAACACTTATAAATCTCTGGTTGCATATTGCAACTTGAGAGTCCATATATATTGCAGGGGTCACACTTGCATCTATAATTGTTTGTTTGTTCTTTCACCTCTGTAGCCTCTTCATTCTAATTTTTAAGTTTAAAATTGATCTTAAGGTTTTCAATTTTCCTCGAAAGGGTTTGATTATGCCGAATTTACTTTAAATATAATACGTATATATTTTTCAAGCTATATTACAAGAGTAAAATTGTTAATTAATCAGTTTGATATGGCATTATTTTTTCGATATGTGTGCAATTATTTCAAACAGTTATTAAACATGCTTTTTTGACCAAAATTCATAGATATATAAAGAGAGGGTTATACATATGATAATATAATTCTTACAATTTTTTGAATCGTTGAATCAAAATTATTAAATTTAAAATATTATTTTAATTTAAATAAATTATAGATTTAATTTTGAATTAATGGTTTAAAAAAGTGTTAAGAGTTAATTCTTTATATATATATATATAGAAGAAGGGATCAACTTATACAATGTAAAATTAAAAAAAATTTACATATTTTTTTAACAATTAATTTTAATATATCCAAGAAATGAAATCAAATTATTTTTTTTATTTTTTACTTATCTCTTTTATATTTATGATCTATTAAAATCAATAATTAAAACATGTGTACAACTTTTTTAGTTTTATACTATATAAGTTGATCTCTTATATATATTTATATTTATATATAATAAGGCTCAATAATGAAACTCATAAATATATCATTAATAATTTATTTAAATTAATTATTTTGTTTTCATTTAATCTTTATTTATTTTATTAATATTGAAGTCCTTATTTTATATTATATATAATGGTCATGTTTGTTTTTAATAGATAAATAAAATATGATAATAATCATTTTATCCCATGTTTGGTTTGCATTTAAAGGAAGAGATTAGATAGCAAAAAGGATTAATTATCTTTTTTGTAAAAAATGATTCTATCCTCTTAAATTAAAAAAAATTATTTTTAACCCATAAGATTAAACTTACATATTATATTATACCTTAAAAATTATATCAATAAATTTAAATTATATATATTGAAGAATAATTTTGACTAATAAATAAAATTATATTATCATAATCTTTACATATATCAAATATAAAATAAAATAACATTATTTAATTTAATTTCATTCATAATATTATTTTTTATTTTATCTTATTTTATTATAATTTTACATATCAAACATGCTAAATATATAAAATACATGACAATTTTTTTTAACTAAGTAACTGCAATTTGAAGAAAGAAAAATATTGTAAGCATTAGGATTTTAATCTGTAAATAGAGATTATTTTTTAGCCAAGTACCATCTAAACAACCGCATGAACCAATCTGTTTAAGTTAAATTCTATTAAGATTTTTTAAGTTTATTTATTTTTTTTATATTTCTTTTAAGATAGGTTTAATAAGTTTATTTAATTTCGTTTAAGTTTCAATTAATTTAATTTAATTTGTTTAATTCATTTTTGTCTAATCTTAGTTTTTTCATTTTTAATTAAGTTTGTTAGGTTGTTAAGTTTTTTCATTAAATTTCGGTTTTCAAATTAAATTCTAGCATGTTAAATTGCTCTTAGGTTGTGGTTTGAATTCAATTTTACTTGTTCCATGTTTAATTGTTATTTTAATTTATAAATTTAATTTATTTAAATTACTGTTTAAGTTTAATTTTTTTTTTTTGCATATTTAAATTTCAGTTTTAAGTTATTAATTTGTTTAATTAGTTTTTTACATAAGTTAATATTCTATTTTAATTAGTTAAAAATTTTAATTTACTTTTTGCATATTAATTTTGATTTATATAAATATAATTAAAATATTATAATTTAAATTTTCATATTAACTTTATTTATAATTTTCGATACTCTACTCATCTTATATTATAATTTACGTTTACCATTTAATTTCATTGATTTAATATTTAATTGATGGTGCAGTAGATTATTTTATTGGATTTACATTGATTTTGCAATAAGGTTCAAATTTAAAGCCCATGAATACTGGATAAGTGGGCTACCCAGCCCAACTAACAATTTCAATTTTCAACCGTTAAATCCAATGCACAAAAAAGTAAAAACAAAACCCTAGTTTTCCTTCCACCGTTTGCAGAAATTTGCAATCCCTAATTAGTAAAAAAATTGCATTCCCCTGAAAATCGTCATGGCGAAGAGGGACAAGAGAAAATCAGCAAAATTTGAGATCGAAGAGCAAGATTCGGGGCCGTTAGATTCAAAACCATTGATGGTATTAAGCAGCAGTGACGACGAGGAAGCTAATGAAGACCTAAGCTTGAAGATCATCGAGAAAGCACTATTGGTTAAAGCGGCGAGGTTGAATGAAGGGAACGATTCCGTTTCGGATGATCAAGAAGTCGTCTCTGTGGTGGATTTGTCCTCTTCATCTTCTCATGACGGAGTCGACGTAGCTCGTACCAGTGGCGGTGGTGAAGACACGGATTTGGATTTGAAAAGTAAGAAGATTGTTAAAAGGGAAAAGAAGAAAACGAAAATCGAAAAGGTTAAAATTTTGTCATTACCTTTTTTTTTTTTTCAGTTGTTATTGTTCTGATCGAATCTACTGGTTGAAAAATCAGTTTTAGCTGAAACTAATTTGAAAAAGTGATTTTTTTTTACTGCATCTAGTTGATGAGAAGATGAAGTTAAAGAATCCACTTTTAATATAGTTTCAAAAGGTGTGAATTTAGATTAGAAATTGTGATGGCTTATTATAACGGTTTCAAATTAGACTGTTAGGGATCCTCATTGCTTGCGTTGCTATGGCAATTTGAATTCCAGCTGGTTCCGCTTAGTTCTTTGTTCGAAAGTATGTTATGGAATGAATTGTTGGATAAATGTTGTTGAATGAACTGTTTTCTGACTGCCAGGTTAATAAGTTCTTTGCTTTGGTTCTGTTTCCCTTTCTGGGTTCGTTGTGCAATGCCTTCTTTCCCTAGAAAACTTGACCCTTTTCTTTTCCTCCTAACTTCCGGCAGGAACTGGCTTCTTTTTTTTTTTCAGTTTTTATTGCTTTTGATAGAATGTCTGCTATAGATTTTAGTTAAAATTGATTTGGCATTTTTTTTTTTGAAAAATTTTGTTGAACTTTATAATTCCAATAATGCTACTCTTCTACGTTGGTATGAAGTTAGATAGGTCCAAAAATTGTTTGAATTAAACTGTTAGCTATCAACATTGCATTTATTGCTGCTGGTTATGCATTGTTCTTTCTTCTTGAATGAATTGTTGAATAAATGTTGTACTGGATTGAATCTGGCAGCATGTTATATGGCTGAACTTTTAATTTGAACTCTGATATCTCTTATGAGGCAAAATTATATTTTGTTATTGCACCAGTTCACCATTACAGAGGATGTAGATAAAGCTGAGATGATAGAGAAGGTTGACACAGTTGAGGAGGCTCTGATGTCTAAGGCTGCAGAGGCAGTTGAATCTCTTGACCCAAATACTGTAGACATATCTGACAATATTGTGCTCCGGAAGCTTCTTGTGAGTTAAAATATTTGCTTTGAACTGTGGTCTAGAAGACAATTCCCTGTGATGGCTTGGTTTTTAGTATCTCTTTGATATTTATTCTATCAGCGGGGCCCGAGGTACTTTGATCCTCCAGATAGTGGTTGGGAAACATGCTATAATTGTGGCGAAGAAGGGCATATGGCAGTGAACTGTAAATCTGCTTCAAAGCGGAAGAAATCATGCTTTCTTTGTGGGAGTTTGGATCATGGTGCTAGACAGTGCTCAAAGGTACGAAGGAAAAGGACTTATGTGAAACTTAATGAGATATCATGTACCATGTCTTTTAACTGTTAACTGTTTATTGAAGTTAATGTCTTTTTTCAATTTTTCTATGCCCTTTGCTGGATTGGAAGTGGGTAGGCCCTTATTTTTTTTCTCTTGTCATAAGAGGCAAATGCATATATTAGGAGTTACTAAATTTTTCTTTTTCTGGAAAATGGTTGAACATGCTTGTTTCTTGCCTTTGTAAATGTAGTTTCTTGATACACTGTTGATATTATGATAATATTTGTTAGCGGTTGAGAGGATGGGATAGGTCCCTCTTTGCTTTCAGGTAGGCTTTAGCTATTTGAATTGTTAGTAGATCCAAAACGGTGGATTTGTCATTTACCTAGCTCTAGTTTATGATTTTACTCATTTGTTTTATTTTCACAGAGAAATTAGAAAGTGCTCCTACTAGTGGTTGTTAATAGCATGTTTAAAAAATTTTTAACTTGGGTCATTATGTTTGGCATGCTCATAATTTTAATTTCTTTTTAGGCACAAGATTGCTTCATCTGCAAAAAAAGTGGTCACCGCGCAAAAGATTGTCCAGACAAACACAAGAGTAGTTTTAATCATGGTAGAATTTGTTTAAGATGTGGTGTTTCTGGGCATGACATGTTTTCATGCAGGAATGACTATTCCCATGATGATATCAAGGTTTCTTCATGTTCCCTAGTAGTATTCTTAATTATTGTCTTTTCCATTGCTAATGCTTACGTTTCTCTGTTGGGATTCTTGTTCTCTAACTGTATTTCTTATCTTTTCCCTCCCAAATCAGGAAATACAGTGCTATATCTGCAAGAGTTTTGGCCATTTATGTTGCGTTAACTTTGTTGATACCAGTGCAAGAGAAGTTTCTTGTTACAGATGTGGCCAACTGGGTCATACTGGTTTGGTGAGTTTCACTCTATATGCTCATATTTAATAGAATAATAGGGTGCATGTGTTCTCTTGCAGGAAGGGTTGCTTTACTGTTTTTGAACTTATTTTCAGCATGTTGATATGTTTGATTCTAAATATGTCTACTGATCTCATCCTTGTATCTTTTTTTAAATATTTTCCAGTTCTTGTGATTATTGTTGTCATTGTGATCTATTGTTTGCTTTGTTCAGTTATTCATCATTTCCTTTATTGTATTTCTTTTTCAACAATTTGGTTACAGTGCATGTGACTCCCCATTCTTTCCAACAGTCGAAAATCTCTTTTACCTCTGTTAATTAATATTATTCCATTTCTCTTTACAAGCTAACTGGATTGAGGATTACTTGGAAAGTTACCTATTTACTAACATCATTTATTTTATCCAAAAATCATTTTTTTGAATGTTCACTTCCATGAACATTCTTGTTCAAAATAGTGATTCTCTTTGTTCTTGTGATCATATATTTTTGCAATTTGTAAATGTTCCTTTCTTGTAATTTGTAACTCTACTATTTAACATGAGAATTGTTTATTTAGTCATGTGGTAGGTCACTTGGAGAAGCCAAGGAAACCACTGATAATGGGTCACCTAGCTTATGCTATAAGTGTGGTGAAGGAGGACACTTTGCACGTGAATGCCCCACTGGTACTGCATCATCAGGCTTATGCTATAAGTGTGGAGAAGGAGGACACTTTGCTCGTGAATGCAGTTCCCTTAAGGTGAATTTCGGTATATTGCAGGAGTTATCAGAATCAAGTGTCATCCCATTGTTTATTTATGTCTTTTACTTGCAGAATAATAGTGCTGCTTGATATGTTACCAACAAAGACTATTTCTTTGCTTGTAAACAGGTTGGTAAAAGAAATCATGAATCATCTACTCCAAATGTAAGACCTCATAGAGAAAATAAAGAGTTCTCGGGATACAAGTCTGCTCCTCATGATCATGGCAAGAGCCCCAAAAGGAAAATAATCCAGTTTGAAGAAAAAGGCTTTACTACACCACAAAAAGAAAAACAAAGAGGTGGTTGGATTAAAGAGGATCCTAGAGATTTCTCCAATAGGAAGTCCACAAGGAACCATTGGAATTCTCCCTCAACGCCATCTATTGAGGGACATAAGAAGTTGTATTTAACTTCTGGCGGCAGTCGTATAGTAGGTTCGCAATCTTCTAAACCAAAGAATTCTCGTAGATTTTCGGCATCAAGGTTTAGCAATTTTGGCAATGATGAACCAAGGAGGATTTACAATTGGTGGTAGAATATATGTTTGTCTTTGTTTAACTTATTTAATCACTTTGTTTCTTCCTTCTTGTTCTAGTCTTCTTAATGCTCATAGGGCTTCATTTTAGCCGGTAAGATAAATTAGAAACACATGCAATTTTTGTGGATATAAAAAAGGAAAGATCACATGCTCATGCTCAGTTTTGGGGTTTATTTTCTTGTTCCCCTTCCCTATTAACACATTAACTTTTCATTTTTGATATATGTTGCATGTTTATCTTTCTAATTAGAGACGGTGATAACCGGCATATTTGAACGCTTATGCCATGTATTTTTCTAGTTCAGAGATAAGATTTATCTGGTTGTTGTTATGCTCAAACTTTCCAATGTGGAATTGTGAACAGGTATTAAACATGTACTAGGTAGAAGTATCCGTCAGTTGGGCTACAAAATCTGCATCTGATCTCTATATCTGTTCTGCCAAAAAAAAAAAAAAGGCTATACCAAATGGCCAGACGATGAACAAAAAAGAAGAAAAAACCTTTTAGTTAGTTAGCCTGTTAATAAAAATCTCCAATGGTAGGAAAATTTTGAGGGCAAAAAGCCATTATCAAGCTGTTGAAGAGCAGAGACAACATAAATTCCATTTCCAGTCTTGTGCAATTTGCGTTTCCTTGGGGGGCTCTTGCTTGCTGCTCTCTGGAAATGATAGGGGAATTTATACTTGCAACCACCATTATTCTCTTCATAGTTCACTTGCTAAAAACAACCAAAATTTAATAACAAAATAAAAACTTTTACTCTTCAGTCAATGTCCTTAGCCATTTCATGTATGCCCTTATCCTTCTGACCTTTATTTATTAGAAATTAGAGACAAATTTAGCAAAAGCTTACAATTATCACCACAACTGTAATAGCCATACGCTTGAGCAACTTCCTACCATAAACTTAAAACTTGTTTGAAAAAGGCATATTATTTATGGTAGTGAAGCCTGAAGGAGGTCTATAATTACCATTTCATTCTTCTTACTCTAAGCAATTCAAAAAAATCATAGTCCTTGATTTAGAAGCATTTGGTTTTTCCCCTTTCGAGTACGAAAGGCTTGTCTCGAAAAAACGAATAATTCTTTGTTTTTCGCAGGTATCTACAAGGGACGTAATCCTAATCAGGACATAATTAATAATAGAGTAGAATTCTCTTCCCTTGTTTTGTTTCTCTTCGTGTTTTATAATGAAAGATTAGTGAGTCTTATAAATGAGTAAGAAGAATAACTGAATAAAGTAAATTAATATACAAATTGATAATTATATATGTTATGCGGTAAATAAAAAAGGAAGTTGTATGGTTCACATATATTTAAATCAAATAAATTAAGAATCGATTTGCCCAATAAATAACAACAAATTAAAAGCACTGCAAATAACAGTTTGGGTTCAACGTTGATATTACAAGCATTACTACAATTGTCCGAAATTTTCAAGTTTCGTCCACGGTAATGACAACAAAAGAAAGGAAACGGTAGCAATATATTTGAAGTTTTATTGAATGAGTTTGGGGATCTTGCCTTGTTTCAAAAGAGAAAGGGAGTATTCAGCAGCATCGATGAGATCTTCAATGTTGTGAAGGGAACGCTCTTCAGAACCCAGCATGAATATGGCACGTGCCTCTGCTTTCTTCGCCAGCCTCGCTGCTAAACTGAGCTCCAGTTTCGGAGAGTTAAGGCTCCGAAGTATTTGTCTGTACAACGAAATAACTTTCCCTCGGTTTCTCGCTAAGTCCTCTGCCGTTGCCCATATCAAACCCTTCGCCATTTCTGACAAAATTCGAAAAAAAAACAGTTTCTCATAGACATTTCATCGAACACCCTTTAGACAGTAGACGTTTGCATTTAGTTAAAAACGCTAGATGAATATTATAATTCAAATAAATAATCATAGACTTACCTGAAAATTTGATTCGTGAGATAAACTGACTGATCTGATAAAGTGATTCCTCGAAAATCTTTGGAGAAATGAACCGTTAGTGAAGGGGTTGAGCAAAATACCAAATAGTCTCAGTTATCATACTCTACTTCATGTACGATAACTAAGACAACATGCTTTAATATTTTTAAGTGAAAATGATACCCTATTTTGTTTTAAAACCGAGAAATTATGTAATCTACATACTTTTTAGATTTATTGGAAAAAATAATTAAAAAATATAATTTTTTAATTTCATTTGTAAAATTAAAAAATTATATTATTAATATATAAATAAATAATTCATTTATTTATTTAAAAAAATAAAAAAAATCAAGGATATGCAATTATTAAAAAATGTGATTGTTTTCAATTAGTTATGTATTTGAAATAACATTTATTTTTCTTAACCGTTTGATAAATGCATATTCTAAAATTTAATCACTGTATAGAAAAATAATACCCTATTATTGGATTATCTTACTATGTCCAGGTTCACAATTTTTTATTTTAAAATAATAAAAATAATTTCTGCATCAGTATTCTTCAAATTTTTCATTGTTTTGATATATTTAATTATCATTTTTCAAAAATAATAAAAAAATATTTTATCAAATATATGAAACACTACGATAACAATAAATAAATAAATATATATATATTTAAGCCAAATATTTAATCTATTGAGATTATATTTTACTTGTTGTATATTCGTGTTATATAGGAAATATTGTAAAATTTTTCAAACTTATAAAACTTTTTTTTTTTTGCCAAAAACCTATGATCTGATTAATCATAAATTATAATTTAAAAAATAAAATAAATAAAGGAAAAATCGTTTTTATACTATCCTAAATTGTATTTATTATCCCAATATTTTGATTTCTTTTCATAATTATTTGCTTTACTCTGTATTTTTGTTATTTTTTTAATTTTTTTTTTACTCCCCATAACTTTATTTATAAAATTTTTGTCTAATTTAATTTTAATATATAAATTAAGTGATCAAAGACATATACAGGTACAAATTCTTTCATTTCCACTTTTAATAAAATTTTAAATTAAAATTACACATATAGTACACAATACATATTTTAAAAAAAAATGTAACTATTTTTATTTTATAAATCCCATTTATTATTTCCCACTTTTGATTACAATAAGATCTTCAAAATAGAATATCAAATTTCATAATTAAAAAGTATCCCATTAAAACATTTAAAATTTTTATATTTCTTTTGAATTTTTAAAATCATTTTTGTTAATAACATATTGGTGATTGATGATTGAAATTTAGATTAATAAATTAACAATCACCATGAACCACCACAAGCAAAAATGATAATAATAAGCTTAACATGAAAATGGTGAACGAGTTGAAAGTTTAAAAATCCTTCCAACTCAATAAATTAGAAGCATTATAGTTGGCAAGGCCAGGCTAAATCATAATCCAAATATCTGGAAATTTATTGAATATTCATGAAATAATAACCTAATTGTCTTTAAGCTCAAAGGGAGGCCTATGGCAGGAACTTTTCGCCATCATCACAAAACTGTAACAAAAATCTTAAGGGTCTAAAATCAATTTCGGGTTCCGACCAAGTATACATTGGATCTTTCACATAAGTTAATGGACAAAATACCTTTCAAGATGGTTGATGAAAATTCCCACATCCATGTAAAGGGAGATGCTCCTCAAAGTTATACAATGGAAGGTTACCAGGTAAAGATTCGATGGCATTGAGAAACTATTACAATAGCTTCAGTCCACCAGTTACATCATCCACCATTTCGACAGGTCCTACAATAAATAACATTGCAGGGTATGAAAGGTAGACTTCTAAAAGAATAGAAATTCGAAGAATTTTTGACAAAGAGACACTTACCAAGAATAGCCATCACTGTCCTTGAATCTGAAAAAGAATACAAAATAGTAAGTTTCGGCATATGCTATAATAGACAAAAAGCCTTTCTAAAGCTATTGAAAAGTTCGTGTTGAATGAAACACCTAAAAACGTAAATGCAGCTAGCTGCTTGGGATAATATTCAGAGAAACGAAAATAAACTCAGCAGTACTTGATGAGTTGATGACTAACATAGTAAAACCTACATATTGCTAATCAAAAAGCAACTACACTGTGGATGTTTGAACAAAAGCTACAGTTATGAAAAGCATGCTAATTCTAATAATTAGACAATTTGTTATTTCATTAAGTGTGGCTCTCTACCGCTCCACTTTTCAATACAACAGCTAATTCTAATAACAAATAAAACACTGATGTTTCCACCAGTAAAGCCTTGATCGCATTCATAGAAAAGCATCAAAATGATTCCACAAATTGTTCTTGCTAACTTTCTCGATAGGACCAATAAGTCAAGATAATAACAGTTGATTATTGACACGTTAAAAAAATAGATTTCATAACACTACTTGCAAAGTAAAAGGTGAAAAAAACCCAATGACATCGAAATAAGCAACAATAAGTCAACCTAGAATTTGACTCTTCCTTATTCAGCCTTTTTTATTTCTTTTCAAATTCTACAGTTTCTTCCCATCTCTTTTATTTTTCCTTTTACGAAACCCATACTTTGACTTCCAATTTTAGCTAAATCCTCCTAGAGTCATGAATTAACTAGGGATTATAAAGAAGCAAAAGAAACAAAAAAGGATCCCAGACAAATTCTTTTCATATGTCTTAAATTCATAAGTGGATTACAAGACTAAGACAAACTCTTATATTGTTTAATTTATAGAAAGAGCTCAATTACCAACACCATGATGACAAAAATTATAAAGGAAGAAAGAAAATATATTATGCCACTCACTTGGTGCAATCTGAGTTCTCCCTGCATCAATGGTGATGTGAGTTGGTAAGTTTAGTGATTTTGCCCTCTCCTGAAAAGTTAAAATTCTGGTTAATAATTGATAAAACTATGTAACTGTGATATCAAGATATATCATGACAAACATTAAAGCTCCCTAAAGGCTAACTAGAAACATAAGACCAAAGACCAGTTGATGTCATTCAAGCCGACGAACAGTTAAGCATTTTTATGTGACAGGTTTGGCAATGAGAGAAAGAAATATCAACAAAATCCTGAGCTTCATATTGAAGAATTATTAACGGCAAGGTTCACAAGGTAAACATTAAATTGTTTACACAGAACATAGAGAAAGATGGATAAATATTTTAAAGCAGACAGAAACACCCTTTGGAAAATGAAATAGAATATAGAGCATCATTTGAGCAAGAAACTAACAGCAAGTGTATTTGAATATTCTTCTAAGAATTAACTACTATTTCAACTGCAATTCTCGTCAAATTCACAAAACCAAAAAGTCAAGAAAGGGGCATTCACCACTCTTGATAAACAAGTAAATCAGGGCCCTAAAACAAGATCCATAAAAGCAGAACAACTAACTTATTTCTTTCACTCAATACTCAATAAAGAAGCACTAAGTTTTGCACCACAATAACTTATTTCTTTAACATGATACTATGCCTTTTTCTTCTGACCATAACTTTCCCTGTTAATAAATTGTTGATACACATTCAGTAAATACAAGCTACATGGTGTTTACACTAGCGAGAGTATCAATGATAATTATCAAAATATGAAGCACAAGAATAGATCTTAAACCACACTGACTTGCAAAACTAACATATCTTCCTCACTGTCGATTTTCACAACCACCTTTGGCTGGGCACATAACTCCCACCTGCATATTGAAAACATAAGGAAGAAAATAAGAGAGAGAGACAGAAAGATAAGAACAAAAAGTATAACACCAGAACAGTGCACGGACTCTACCTGTCCAAAGCTTTTGGTGCCCAATGATGGAGTTTTTTGTAAAGACCTAAAGTTGCATGACTAAACATTGAAAAAAAAAAAAAGCAAAAGGATTTGAATTATGAACTGAAAACAAATTGGGATTAAATAGAAGTAACTCAAGAAAATATACGCAAATGAACCATTTTTTAACAAAACAAAACATCAGTGATTGTAAATTTACAAGAAGGTCATCATAAAAGATAGCAAAATGGGGAACCACCAAAGCAGTAGTATTTGGATAAAAGATGGCAAGAAATGAGTTTGCCAGTTGGCTGTTTCATGAAACCATATGCTGCACATCAGGAACTTAGTATACAACCTTACACATTGGGTTAAATCTTGTTTTGAGGCAATTAAATTTCCAAAAATTACAAACAATTTCTTCCAAGATGCTATGTCATGACTCAATGGATTTATAATATTTATTACACCTTACAGAGTGCAAATGTTTCAATTTTTTATTGAGTATGATCTGCTGTAAGAAGTCCTGCTTATCACAACCCAAGCATTCAAGTACTGTTCCAATTTAATTGATAGTATTCAGATTCTAATTGGCCGTTGGTTCCCTCTTTCTTGGACAGGTATTCATTATCTGGATTAGGAATAAGCATATGCCATCTAATCAAAGAAATTATGGGTTAGGAAAGGATCTATCAATAATCATACAGTAATTCAGTTAAACTTAACAGAACACTTTCTGCACTACCTGACTTGATCTACAAATTTATATCTCAAGTCTCAACACTAAACATTTGCATCTAATGAAAAATGAAATTAGTGGTACAACCAGAAAACAAAGGCTTACCTGCACTGGGCGGCAATTTTCCCTTTACCCATCTTAAGATCGTTTCTTACAACCAATACCTGAAGATAATAAGAGCAAGACATAGATTTTCAATGCCAATTTTTACATCTAATAGTTTGCACAAACATGCCAATTCCAAAGAGAGGAAAGACAGTTCAATACCATTTTAAAATCCTCCAGAATGTCAGCCAACTTTTCAATTTCAAAGGGTTCTTTGGTCTTCTTCTTATTTGCTTTAGAGATTTTAGTATCTTTAGCTCCTCTTGATGAGAGAAATAGACAAGCAGGATGTCGCCTACCAATGCAGTACCCCAAGGCAAGGCAGCCTGCCCCAACTAGGATGGCGCTTAACCATGACAAGTCCATCATGTTAAAGCACCAACAAAGTAATTACCGTCAGCACTAAAAGGCCAAGGAAAGTATCAGCCTAGAACTCAAAGGCAATCTGCAAGGTGCATAATCAGCTTTCAAAATCTACCTCGACCAGAAAAATTGGATTATAATAGAATTACAATCATGCTACAAAAAAATGAAAGCAAGAAAAATATAAACTAATAATGTTATTATTATTAATGGTAACAATAAAAGGAAGAACTGAAGAAGCACTTAAATAGGCTCCATCTAGATGTTGCATCCATTACTTGCTTTCTAGCTTTACCATTTGCATTCTGCTTCCCAAAACCTTGCTATAATTGCAAAAGCAAGTGGTAAAAGACATAATTATAAATAACTAAAGTAATAAACAAATAACAAAAGTTTAACACCAATTCTAACAAAATTATTGTTCTATATAAAGTAGAACCATACATTTTCTTGTCCAAGAAGAATTGCATTTTTAATTTTAAGAAAAATATAAATTATTAGTTTTATATTCAAACACTTGTTTTGCCTTTTGCTTCCAGAAGAAAAAAAAAGTAGCAAAAGCAACAATCAAACCATAACTAAATTAATTTAATAAAATAACAGAATTTCTGAAACTCTGAAGCCAACACTACATTATAAGACTCCTTGAACTTTGTCACATGTGCATTGGTCCAATTAATTTAAACATCCAGGCTCCTACTTTTCCTCCATTAAAGTTTTTAGCAACAAATGTTTCCAACCATTATAACGTTAAATTTATGAACTTTCAAGTTTCAACTTTATGCTAGACATTCATTAATGAAGCAAATTTATCAAAGACCTGTCTTCACCAGAGGAAAAACTAAAAAGAAATATAATTGAAAGACAATGGTAATTCAAATTGTAGAGAAAAATTTAAAGGAACAGGAACAAAAGAAATACAGAAACTGCACCTATTAGAAACTTCGGTTAGAGTTGGATTGTGGATTTATTGACCTTCGGTAAAAGGGAAAGTGGGTTTCTTCACTGAGTTGCCGGGGTTTTGTCTTTGGGTTCAAAGCGAAGGTCATGGGAACTGAAAAATTGCTGCGACGAGGGGAAAATGGGGAGAAAAGAGAAGAATAGGTTGGGCATTGGCTATCAAAAATTCAAAATAGTAGCAGAGAGAAGTAATCAGAACACGAACAGAGTGGGATCGTCATGCTTGAGAAATGTCTAACCTCTTCTGAAATTTGAGTAGACTTGCGTAAATGACAAAAATGTTATGTTTTTTAAAGTAGTATAGCCAAGGGGAAAGAAAAATAAAATATTTTTGAGTAAATAATGTTGTAAAAAAAATAGTTTTAATACCCAAATGTGCTTTTAAAAAAAAAAAAAAAACAAAAATAGGAAGATAAATAAATTATTTAGTTTTCCAATATAATGTAAAATATATCATATTTTACAATTTAATATAAATAATTATAAGTTGTACATTCAAAATAATTTTAATAAAAAATCTTTAATAAGATTCGAATTCAAAATTTTTTCGTTAAAAAAAATAAACTTAATCACTTGAACCGACCATTTATTAATTATACAAAAAATTTTTTATTACATATAAATAAATATTATAAATAAAATCATAATCTTTTAAAATTACAGTATTAATGACAGATTATATTGTACAACAACATTTTATGTAAAAGATATTATTTTATTTGAAAATATTTAATATGGATATATATTATTAATATTTTGTACAAAAAAATTAAAGCACTACTTGATATTATAATTTTTATTTTTTGAATTTTATTATTTTCAAAAATTAAAAACTAAAAAATTTTTAAAATCAAAATAATAAAAGGTAAACAATCAGAAAAGAGATTAAAATTTTTTCTTAAAATGAAAGTCTTCGTTAATTTAATTTTATAAATTATATTAAAATTTAGAAAATTTGAGTATAATTAATTAATGTAATTTTAAATTTGATTTTATTTCACTTAGATAATTATACTTTTAAATAAATTGTTATATATAATATAATTTTAATAGCAAATAATTTTAAATTCTATAATTAATTCACTTGATGAAATCTTTAATCATAATTCAAACCTCATAACAAATATAAGTTTTTTTTTAATATTTATGTAAATTAACGGATTTAGATATTTATACTATTTGAGATAAAAAAAATTAATTAAATTAAATATAAAATAAAATCCAAATTCGTATAATAATACTCATTTGGGCCATTGCCGGCTTTGACAAGTCACCTGACTATTACACGAGCTAATCATAAGTTTACTGGTTAATATATCTTGCGTGCAAAAGGGGCAAATTTTACGAGAATAATTGATGAAGTTTGAAAATTTTGAAATTTAATTTAAATTCGATTGAAATTTATATTTTTAATTTAAGTTTAATTTGAAATAAAATTAAATTTTTTAAATTCGTTTGATTAAATTTAATTTTTATATTTGATAAAAAAATTAAATTATTTATACTCAAATTTAAATTAAAAATATTTAATTAATTAAAATAATTCAAATATATTCAAATATAAAAATTTAATTAAATTTATGAACTATTGAAATGTAGTATAAAAATATTAAAATTTGAATTAATTAATAAATTAAAATACTTAAATTTAAATTTAATTTAATAATAATCTAATCAAATTTAAATTTTATTTAAATTAAATCAAATAATTTATAATTATTAATATATTATTTATGTCCCTACTATATATAACTGGATCCAACAGTTGCGATTTTGAAATTGCATTTTCAACGACTCTGACTTCACCTTTTCTTTTACGCCAAATCTGACTTTACCTATTTAATTTTTGTGCTTAAATTAAATTTATGAATAATTGACAAAAAAACATAACAAATAAATAAATAATTATAAAAAAAAACTTAAAACAATAGTCATTAATTATTATTATTATTATTATTATTGTTGTTGTTATAGTATTTTTTAATTTAAAAATATTTTTATTATTAATTTAATAAAAAATTATTTTATATAAATATTTAAAAAATGTCTTCACACAAAATGGGGAACCATTCTAGTTTATTTCTTTACTAGCTTTATACTTTTCATTTTGAAATATATATTGGCTTTATCAAGTAAAAGAAAATGGGCTTTTTTAATTTTATTTGATTGATATGGAAATATTTTCACACATTATTCTCATGATAAATATTGATTTTGATTGTAATATTTTGATGGATCTTACTTAATTGCATGTCCAATATGTGTATTTGTTTTTCAATTGTATTTGAAATGTTTGTGACAAATATTGCATTTAGTTGGAGTTTCCTTTCTAAAAATTTAAATTTAGTATAAGTTTATGTTAACTTATATTCTTATTTTGATTTTTTTGATCAAAGTGAATTCGAATTTAGACAAAACATTATTTTTTATCATTTTAAATATTATATTATACAAAATAAAAATTTTAGATAATAATTCATAAATCTTAATTACTATATTTTTTTTGGACTAAACATATATAAAGTTTTTGAAATAAAATTCGTGAAGATTTTTAATAAAAATAATTTAATTAAAATTTTAATAAAAAAATTTTAAATTGATAAAATTTAATGAAAAAATAATGATAATTTTAAAAAATTAAAAATATCATTTATAATTTAATTTTGATCAATATTTATTTAATAATAAAAATTTTATAAAAAATTTTACTAAAAATGATTGTCTAAAAAATATATTAAAATTTATTCACTTGATTTATTTATTAAAAACTTTCAATTTATCAATTTTAATTTAATTATTTTTAATAAAAATAATTAAATTTAATCATTTAATAAGTAAAACCTAACTTCATATCCTATTAATAGAAAAAAGAGAAAAAGGCATTACAGATTGTACGATGCCGCTTTACTTTTTGTATTTTTGACGAATGGAATTATGGCAACAACCTTCACAAGTACGCAATATTTATTACTCAACAAAAAGCCAAAAAAAAAAAAGGAAATAATCTCATTGTATGAAATTAAAAAATGAAAAAAATAAAAAATTGACATTTGGCAAGCGTTTAATAGAGAGACTGAAACTCCAAAGGCAAGATCAAAAGCACTAACTTTACTTAGTCGTAACGCGTCGCCGTCTTCTTTCTTCTTCTTTTTTCTTTTTCTTTTTAAAATTTTTATTATTTTATCTCATTTCAATTTCAAACGTAAAGTGATTACCATCTCCTTTTATTTTGGGTTTTTTTTTTTTTTTCAATTGCACCAAATCTTCCTGGGTTTTTCTTTCTCATTTACTTGATCTCTTCAATTTCGGCTCACCAACAACTGTAAGCAAAGAAAAAACTTTCTTTTTTTATAATTTGCTATTTTTTTTCTGATTTTGAATTTGAAGATTTTAGAATCTACGTTTAGCTGACCCACACTTTATTATTATTATTATTGTTTTTACAAAATTGCCTTACATTTTCTTAGTAGTTAAGCAAGCCTTTTAACTATTTTCATTTTAAGCAAATCTAAGTTTGCATTTTTGGGTTTTTTAAATTATGAATTCTAATTGCTGCTAAAATAGAAGGGAAAATGATATTTACTTTTGAATATATGAGTTATTTGCTTTAAATTAGGTATTTATTCTTTTATTTTCTTTAATCTGCAAGTTTTTCAATTGTTGGAGGTTTTGATGTTAATATTTTGATAAAGTTTGTTTTTCAAGATTGGAAATTCGGGTTTTTACTTTTTGTGAGTTTGAAGAATTTTGATGCTATTAAAAAATTTTCAGACAAATTTTTTGATTTGCATCAAGTTCTTATGGGTACATCCTTGGAAACAAAGTGAAAGAAACAAAACCTGATATCTGGTTGTTCTAATGAACGGTGATGGGGCAAATCATAGTTCTATCTGTTTGATTATTTTATAACATTATTGTAATTTTGATGCTTTTGGGATCTTATCTTTTTCATGGAAGATAATTGGGAAATAAATTTTGTATTAAAAATTCTGCCCCTAATATGATGCATTTAGGCATTATATCTTTTGGACTTTTCTAGGGTTTTTTTTTGCATACGTTTATTCAAGATATAATTTTGGTGTTTTGAAGGTTTGGTGAAAATGGACAAGAATTTGATGGACAAAGTTAGTGCCTTTGGTGAACGCCTCAAGACTGAAGGAGTTGAGGTGGGCAGAAAGGTGAGTGCTGGCATGAGCTCAATGAGCTTTAAGGTAAAGGAGCTGTTCCAAGGCCCGAACCCAGCTGATAAGCTTGTTGAGGAGGCTACCTCAGAGGCCCTTGATGAGCCTGATTGGGCCTTGAATCTTGATATCTGCGACATGATCAACCATGAAAAAGTTAGCAGTGTTGAATTGATCCGTGGCATAAAGCGGAGGATAGTGTTGAAGAGCCCTAGGGTTCAGTACTTGTCCTTGGTGTTGCTTGAAACTTGTGTCAAGAATTGTGAGAAAGCATTCTCGGAGGTGGCAGCTGAGAGGGTTCTTGATGAGATGGTTAAACTCATTGATGATCCTCAGACTGTTGTTAATAATCGGAACAAAGCTTTGATGCTTATTGAAGCTTGGGGGGAGTCAACCAGTGAGCTCCGCTATTTGCCCGTTTATGAAGAATCTTACAAGGTAACAACATATATTTTTTATCTGGTTTTCTTTGGCTATCAAAACTATTTGAGAAAATTTGATTATTTAATTTCATTCACTAGTTTGCTGCTGTGTGTTTCTGATTGAAAGACGTGTAGCTTTAGCAATAACAGTTTTTGAAATTTATTCCTTTGGTTTGTATTACATTCTTGGAATTGTTGTTAATTGCCCACAAATCTTCGTTAAATCATGGAATGGGAAAATTATTGAAAAAAAATAGCAAGATGTTCAATTGTTTGTTTGGTTCAGTTGATTGAAATCATAAGATCAATTTAGAAAGCCTTTCAATAAGCTTTCTCCAACAATTAAACTCTTGACTAGAAGTTTTTGGGTATGTCAATTGCTCTTCAATTATTTGCGCTTTGCATCACAATAGGATTTAATATGCATGCCAAATGTGCGGTGCGATGTTGCTACAAAAGATAAATGCCTTATCTTTTGGATTGTGATTGATGACTTTTGAGAACTTCTTGAGTGATCCAATTTTTCTGTTGTAGAGTTTAAAATCAAGGGGTATTCGCTTTCCTGGTCGTGACAATGAGAGTCTGGCTCCTATTTTTACCCCACCTCGTTCAGTTTCAGTTTCAGAAGTGGATGCTAGTCTTGCACAGCAGCTTCAACATGACATGCAATTTCAGCATGATCTTCCTGTCCAAAGCTTTACCCCTGAACAAACAAAGGAAGCATTTGACGTGGCAAGAAACAGCATTGAGCTTCTTTCAACTGTGTTATCCTCATCACCCGAACAAGATGCTCTTGAGGTATTATTGTCTTTTTCCACACTCTTTTTTTTGGCCATTCTTTTTCTGCACTTCTTAGTTTGGAACTTCATATAGATTACCAATAAAGTAGGCTTCCTCCTATGATGCCAAGTAACAAGCCTTTAAAAATCTGAGTCTTGGCGGCCGTATGAGTCATTAATATGTTTTGCCTATCTATTCCTTTGTTGAAAAATGTTTAGATTTCTGTTGCATGTAGTGAGCCGTTAATGTGCAAAAGATCATATTGTTTGTCAAAATTTTGCTTTTTGCTCCATTTTCAAGGAGGAAATTACTTTATATTTACAGCTTTTAAATCTTTTATATTATCTTCTTATGATCTTTATCACACTTGAAGGCTTATAGCTGATGAATATGACATTTTCCCTCAATGATAAAGATTGGTGAGAATTCTGATAGCCGGAACAGTACCAAGTTTTCACTTTAAAAGTTGAAGTGAATGTCTAAGACTTGTTATGTATGCTCTTCTAGAAGGGTAAACTAGAAGTAGAAGTGATGCTTGGTAGTGATACATCTGTGTATTAGATTTAAAGTTGACCAGTTTGTTTTCCATTGATTGTAAGTTAACTTAGGCTTATATTTTGAGATCTTTGTCGGTAGTGATAGGATTTGTGGAGTTTTGTTCCAGGTTAGACTCATAACATCAAAAATGATATTCCAAACGGTTATTTAGCTGTCATTGATGTGGCAGCAATGTCCATATGGTTCTGAATCTATAAGTTACAGTGCAGTTCTTCTAAACGTCTAAAATTTGAAGGTGCTGGAACCTTTTGCAAGTTTAGCCTTTTAAAATGAAATTTATTTTTACATTTAGATTATTCATATAGGTAGAATCATATGAAATGAATCCCTTGGCCAGAAGGTAGCAAAGCAGGGCAAAACTCTAGTCTACCCTTTTTTTTTGGTAAAAAACTCTAGCCTGCTTAGTCTGATACTTTTTAGGCTTTATTCTCAGTTGCGAACTTTATCAAATTCGGTTTGGCACGTTTTATCATATAAGAAATCCATGAGGTTCTGATTTCACATAATTTTTGCTTTTCCATGTGGGAGGAAAATAAAAGAAAATAAAATAAAAAGAGGGGAGGTGTGAAGTGGAGTAGGTGCCTAGTTGAAAATTTTTTTCTTGCTTTATTTGCTGAATACTGGTTGAATCACAGTAATTTATATTTACATTGTTTGCAGGATGACTTGACAACTACGCTTGTCCAGCAATGTCGACGGTCCCAATCCACTGTTCTAAGAATTATTGAGACTGCTGGAGATAACGAGGCCCTGCTTTTTGAAGCTTTGAATGTGAATGATGAGATCCAGAAAGCTCTCTCAAAGTATGAAGAGTTAAAGAAACCATCAGAAGTTCCTCGGGAGCCAGAACCTGCCATGATTCCTGTGGCTGTTGAGCCTGATGATTCACCCCATCATGCAAAAGAAGACGCCTTGATTAGAAAACCAGCAGGTACCCGACATGGCAGTCATGGAGGAAGCAACGACGACATGATGGATGATCTCGATGAAATGATTTTTGGTAAAAAAGGCGGGGGTTCGTCTGAAGGGGGACAAGATTCAAAGAAGCAGCAAGCACCAAAAGATGATCTAATCACATTCTGAGTGATACTCAACACCATTCCATAAATTTAGGATAGAAAACAAAAGTTTGGAATTAAAAACTCTCGACAGGATTGCGGACTTTCTCTTTCACACACTACCAATGGTTGTTCCTGCAAATTATGTGCATGTATGAATTCAAGTTTGGATTTGTTTACTGAATTATTTGATGAGTATACATATGAGGATTGTTATGAGCAGAATAAATCTGTATGGCTCTCGGTATCATATTTATGGTTTGATGACATGACTGGTTCTTGTTTGCTTCATTCAAGTCCAACTCAATGTTTGTGTAGTAGGGTTTGACCCAAACCGCCCGGCTCATCGAAAGCTTTGGGCCTCTGCCCACTAGCACATGTTGCGTGTCTCAGTTAAAACACTCTCCAGTTCCGCTCACACCTCACTCTCACTTCTCTGATAACGGAAACCTTAGAAAATGCGAGCGAAGCAAATCCCATCGTCCTTAACAAGATCCAAATCGCCAATCCTCCTCATCGTCTTCATCATCTCGCTCATCTTTCTCTCTTTCCTCTTTTTCCTTTCTGCTCCGTCCGATCCCACCCGCTCCTCCTCCCGTCCCTACCCGCACCTGCCCATCCGACCCGAAACCTCCTTCGTCGCTTCCCTCGAACACTTTCTCACTCGAAAATCTCCCAACCACGACCGCACTTCCGACGATACGGTGCGTACGGTGCTCGAGGATGACGTCGGTAGATTCGACGAGAGAAAGTTCGCCAAGGAAATGGACTGGGTACATGGTGAGCCGTACTACCCGCTGAGTATGCCGATTAGGGTTTACGTGTACGAAATGCCGACGAAGTTCACCTACGATTTGCTTTGGTTGTTTCGAAACACTTATCGAGATACCTCTAATCTCACCTCCAACGGCAGTCCTGTTCACCGTTTAATCGAACAGGTAAATCTGTCAAGTCGTTTAATAGAAAAATAATTACTGTCTTTTTAAATAGTCGTTGAAATATGTTTAAGCTTCTATATTTGGTTAGTAGAGTTTGTTTGGCTTCAGAGAATATTAGGAAGGAGAAAGAGAATATGAGAAAATAAAAGAGATATGAAATTTCCTTCCCTTTACCAGAAAATTGATAGCTTGTTGTATTTTTCTTGAAATTTTTTTTTTGGGTGGTTCAGCATTCTATTGATTATTGGCTTTGGGCGGATTTGATTGCACCGGCATCTGAAAGGCTATTGAAAAATGTTGTGAGAGTTGATATGCAGGAGGAGGCGGATTTATTTTACGTGCCCTTCTTCACCACGATTAGCTTTTTCTTGTTGGAGAAGCAACAGTGGAAGGCGTTATATAGGGTGTGAGTGCATTTCCAGGTTTTATAATATTTATTTGTACGTTATGTTATTACTGTGTTTTTTAATTGTTTAGAATATGTGTTTGATTCCACTTCTATTCTGATGATTATTTTTTTCATGTGGGCGGTAAGTTGTGCGTTGTCATGTTGTGCTTGTCGGGTTATTCAGGTTTATCAATGTTGATAGTTATTTTAACGTATTTTATGGAGTCTTTCATTTCAAAGGGAGGTACAACAAGTAAAGGAAACGGTAATTAGGTCAAGTCCAATGCATTTGAGGTGCTAGACTGAGTTTGCTGCTTTTTTTAGTTTCATCCTGTGTGAGTGACTCTGAATTCTGGGCTGTCAGTAAGCTGAACTTTAGAGATAAAATTTGCATTAACATGTTGATTGGGTTATCCCATCGGAGTTTTGGCTTGTGTTTCTTGAGTTATGTTATCGTTTTTTTATTCCCTTTATCTGATTGAAAAGGATTTGGGAGACAAAATAGTGCATGGTTCCCTTCAAGAACTACCTCTGTAATGTTTTATACTGACAAATGTGCTATTAAGTTTTAGAATTTGCTTATTCTAGTTTTTTTTTTTTTTCCTTTGGTTACAGGAAGCCTTGAAATGGGTGACAGATCAGCCCGCGTGGAAACGATCTGAAGGAAGGGATCACATATTTCCTATTCATCATCCATGGTCCTTTAAGTCAGTTCGCAGATATGTGAAAAATGCAATTTGGCTTTTACCAGACATGGACTCCACAGGGAATTGGTAACTTGATGACTTTTGCAAATCAGATGGAACTTGTTAAGTTTACTAGTCATTTCAGCTTCTGAAAGATGATTTATTTTAACATTCTAGGTACAAGCCAGGGCAAGTTTCACTGGAGAAGGACCTCATTCTCCCTTATGTTCCAAATGTTGATTTATGTGATAGAAAATGCTTATCAGAAAGTGAATCAAAAAGAACCACACTGCTTTTCTTCCGTGGACGACTTAAAAGAAATGCTGTAAAAGTTTCAACCGTCTTATTAAAGTCTTTGATTTGTTTTGCACTAGCATTGAATTTGTTAGAACATGAAGGAAAGGCAGATATTTTTTGGGCTCATTTTGTGTGGGCTTATGCAAGAGATGTCTAGAGACACGCCAATTTATTTTTTTTCCAAACTCAAGAATGGTAGAACAAGAAAAAAAAGGTGGAGGGGAAGGAGAGAAGGAAGGTGCTGTTGTATCATAAGAACCTATGTGTTCCAAATTTTTTTGTAAAGATGGATGGATATTTGATCTCTGTTCCAAAGGCGTGCTAATTTATCCTTTTCAAACTGAAGGTGAAAAAAGATAAGATAGATGCCTTCTTGGGCTTTTTCTCTATGCATGTCACTTTTTTTTCTTAATAGTTGACTAGAGAGTAGCATTACCTGCTTTCTCTCCAACATTGTCTCTCCTGTGTCTCACATCTCGCATAATGTATCTCATTTGATCTTTTGGCTTCTTATTTTGTAATTTTTCTTTTCAGGGAGGAAAAATACGATCTAAACTTGTTGCAGAATTAACCACTGCCAAGGATATAGTCATAGAGGACGGAACCGCTGGGGAGGGAGGGAAGGCTGCTGCTCAGAAGGGGATGCGCAGGTAAGATAAGCTGGTTCTCTTTAAAAAATTTTCATTTCCTGCTTAATAGCTATTCCGTTTCCTCTGTCATCAGGTCTATATTTTGTTTAAGTCCAGCTGGTGACACTCCTTCGTCTGCTAGATTGTTTGATGCTATTGTCAGTGGGTGTATCCCTGTTATTATTAGTGATGAATTGGAGCTTCCTTTTGAAGGAATACTTGATTATAGGAAGGTATGTATGTTTTTCCCAGGGCTTGAGTTCTTACTTTCTTTCCCTTGATGCGCTTTGGCTACCTTGAGGGTGCTTTTCACTTGTTTAATGACTGCATTAAAATTGCCTATTATTTGTTTATGAGAGTATTATCAATAGAGGTTGAAATGTTATTGTGGTCATTTTAGGTGGTTAATGACCAGAGTCAGTTGGAAATGTTCCTTCTATATTATTGGTCATATAAATGAAATTCAGTGCCTAATAGACAACATCCTTGATCTTATATTCCATAGAGTTAATGATTATGATTTCTATACAAATCATGTGATCATGCTATAATTCAGTTTTCTATACTACTTGTACAACTTGAAATGAGTAAACTAGTTTTTTTAGTGGGTAGTATGGTATAGGTATGGTTCTAAGATATGCTTTGAATGGTAATTTTAAATGCATGCCAGGGACCAAGGGTCATTTGGTTCTTGAGAAAGATGAATAGACCTTTAACAGAGTTTCTATAGAATAGATATGTTGCATTCTTATCTTGCTTGTGTGTGAGGCCACGTGTCTCCCTGTGTACGATGCCATGTGCCAGTATGTCATGTTTGGGACAATGATATGCACTTCATTTAATTCCATATTCTTGGAAATTTTGTAGTGTATGGGATTTCATTTTATAGAGCATAATACATTTTCTGATTAAGCTTCAAACAAAGAGTTAAGGGGGGTGTATTTATGCGTAATAGACAGTTGCTTATGCCTCACTTATTTTTATCTTTTTTGTTTCCTTTTTATGCAGATAGCTATTTTTGTTTCTTCAACTGATGCTGTGCAACCTGGTTGGCTTTTAAGATTTTTAAAAGGCATTAGCTCTACTCAGATCAGAGAAATGAGGAAGAACCTTGCGGAGGTTTGTTGATTGCAAAGTTAACATTATGCTCTAGAATTGCATTACCTGTATCCTGTGCTAGGGTTAGATGAAAGTACAAATTTTTACCCATGTTGTCCACACTTGTACCTAAGGAGAAAGCTTTAGCATTTGGTCTAGCACTGTCATTTCACTTTGAAGGCCGAACTTGGCATCTTTTGAATATTGATCTCTTTATGCCTCTGCTAATTATTTTTTAACCTAAATCTTAAATTCTATTGATAATTGGATGGTACTTTTTTAATTTCCTACTTATCTTTGATATTTTAAGTTAGGAGAATAATATGAACAAAAGAAAACTAGGAGAATAATGTTAAAGAATGCTATCTTTTATAATGTTAATTTGACTGAAATTTTTTATTTCATTTGTCCAGTACTCCAGGCATTTCGTGTACTCTAGTCCAGCTCGACCCTTGGGTCCAGAAGATCTAGTTTGGAGAATGGTTTGTAACATTGACCAAAAATTTAGCTTATATTTGTATCTTTGGTTATATTTTAGAAATAATGCTGAAGTTATATTGCTCTGAGCATAGGCTTGTTTCAGCTAGAAAAACTAGTTAAGAAACAGGAAATTCACTTGGTTGGCAGTAGTGTGCCATGTCGATACCCGAGAGATGCATCAACACATCATTATTCATGGTTTAAGTAGCATGACAGATCTGGTGGGCTGACTTCTGGCATGTCAGGTTGCTTTTACAGAAATGATTCTAATAGCATTAGGCATGACCGTTAATGTTTGAGCATTTGGCATTTTTTATGTTCTTGCTATTGGTGTCTGTTTGGATGCTTGTGTTAATTCATCTAACTCCTACAAACTGCGGAGCAACTACATTACAATTTCTAAAAAATTGTGTATAAATATATTGTGCTTTTTTTTTTTTTTGTAGTAAATCACTGATCTTCCTCTTAATGTACCTTTTCTGAAAGGAATGTTTATGCGTACACACTGACAAGCACGGATCATGAGAATGGTGACATTACCTGTGCATGTGTGTTTGCTGTTTGTTTAGTTTAATCTATTTGTTTAATGGCTATGATTCTATTGTTAGGGGAAATTCTTATTTCTGTCACAAGAAGCCTCTCCTTTGTAAAAACTAACGGAAATACATCAAAAAGAAATGTTGAAATTATGGTCCTACTAATTTAGCATATATTTGCTTGTTTGCAACAGATGGCTGGTAAGTTGGTGAATATCAAGCTTCATACTCGTAGATCACAACGTTTAGTTAAAGAATCAAGAAATGTCTGCACTTGTGATTGCAGGCGTGGCAACATTACCGGTTCCAATCCTTTATCTTGATCTTCATTGGTTTGAAGTTACTGTGTATTGGAATCATTCTTTAAACAGTTATATTTCTTCTGTAAGGCTGCCTCTTAAAATATATTAATTAATTTAATATTCATAATTAATTATAGCTTCTGCTTTTCTGGCTGTTGTTAGATTCATGGAGAATTCATCCCTTCCAAACTTGTTCTATTTCATATTTGATTTGGCTGCATATGATTTCGCACATGCATGTTGCTATCTCTTATCAAATTCTTTCTGTTCCGTTGTTATTTTCTATGACTTTCTTATTGTGATGGAAATTATTTAAAAAAAAAAAAGGTGCTTTTGGGATGTAAAATTAGATAATTTCATTAGTATGTACTTTATTTTTTCTTCGTTCTTACCCTCTCACTTATTTTCTCGTGCTGGTTCAGCACAAGCAAGGGTCGATTCGGCTCAAATTAGCCGGCGTGACATCGGTTGGGCTAGATCGGGCCCTTGTCTCTTTTGGGCTAACCGTTGGACGATAAACGGGTAGGAGAAGAAGAGAGGGAAAAAAAATGAATAAAGAAAAGGAAACCAAAAAAACATATTTTTAATATTTTATTTGTTTGTCCTTTGACACTTGATAGTTGATAATAATTAAAGCTTTCATGATCACACTTAAAAATCAATGCAGCAATTAAAGCTTTCATCATCACACTGAAAAATCAATGCATCAATCATTATTGTTTTTAATAAACTGCCACACATTAAATTCATTTTCTTTTCACAACAGGCAATTGTAATTTTCCCTTAAATTTCTTGGATTTCAAACTCAGACTCAACTCAAACGTGTAAACCCAAACCCTGCTTTGAGCTGAGTTGATGGACCGCAAGGGTGGCTAGTGCGGCCCATCGACGGGTATAATAGCAGTCATTTTCTTCGGTTTGGACCAAAGCCCTTTTTCTTCTCCCTCCGTTTCCTCTGCTGCAAGTTTCCAACATCAGTGATTACTGATCGGTAGACACAAAAAAGAACAGCTGCTCTCGTGTCTCGTCCACCTTTTTGTTCTTCTTCAATGTCACCAACATACTAGATTATTGGGTATTAATATCTCATTTCTAGTTCATTTCAAACGTTTTTAACTGTTTGATGAATTGTCTCAAAGGAAAAAAAACCAGCTGCTCTGGGCATATGTTTATGTGTTTGGAATAAATCTTTTAGCCGATTTGTTGCAGAAATTTGAGAAAGAAAAATGGATGCTAGATTGGCCAACACGTGGCGTTTGACAGTGAATGAGAAGAATTTTATCAAAACAGCTTTGCTTTCTGAAATAAGAATAGATGGTCGAAAACCCTTTGAATTTCGTAATTTCATCATCAATTTTGGCAGGCAAGTTAATTCTTACTTTTATCTACAAGTATATTCAATCCAAGGTTCAAGGGATTTGGATGGAATTTTAAAAACATGAAAGGCATATATGTTTATGTTTATTTTCTTGCCAAAATTACTGGGTTTCTTTGTTTTTGGAACATTTACTTTTCTTTTTAATTTGGTGATGTAGTTATTCTATATAGAAATGAGATAATTTTTTTTTTTACCTACTTAAAGGATCTTTACTGGATACTGTATTCGATAGTTCAAATAAATGGATGGGGAATTTTATTGCTCTGTGGTTGTTTAGAAGATATGCTAATGAAAATTGGGCTCCATTTGTTTGTTACTTTTGTTAGTTTTTTTTCCATTTGTTTTTTCTTTGTAAAAAATTGGTGAAAAATATACAGAAGTAAAACCACAGGAATTGATTGAAATGATCAAGCAATGATATGCAAGCCGGTTCTGATCAAACTATTCTATATTAAAGTACAATCATGCATTTTGTTCACATAAAAGAATTACATCATTTTAAATTTTAATTATTCAACAAAAAATATTTGCCTTTTTCATCTGAATGTAAGGGAAAAGCAAGTAGTAAAAGGAATAACCAAATAGTACCTTAATTTAGTCGGCACATTTGCTGAAGTAAAAGCGACGAGAGGAGATTTGAACCTTAGACATCAACCTTTTTAACAAGGGTAACAACCAGGAGGCTGAGTCTGAGTTGTTATGCTGATGAAAGTTAAATTTTTTTTGTTTGGTTTATTTGGGTTGAATTTTGTAGAGAAGATGGGTTGACAGAGGTGCAGCTGGGCCAGACTCGTGTTATGGCCATTGTGACGGCTAAATTGGTTCAGCCTTATCAAGACCGGCCCAATGAAGGAACACTTTCGATCTACACGGAGTTTTCGCCAATGGCTGATCCCTCATTTGAGATAGGCCGCCCAGGAGAATCTGCTATTGAGTTGGGACGTATAATAGATCGTGGTCTAAGGTAATCTTGCTTTTATTAATCTTATGGAGTTCTCAAGTATATGTTCTTTTGCTATTTCGTTAATTATGGACGTTTATTTTAGATTATAGCAAGTTTTTACAAGCTATTAGGAATGTTGTGGAATTTTGTTGTATATTTGCTTATGTATTTGAAGGTTTATAGTGCTCTTGCAGGGAAAGTAAGGCCGTAGATACTGAATCACTTTGTATCATTGCTGGCAAGTTAGTATGGGCCCTCCGTATTGATCTCCACATTCTAGATAATGGGGGGTATGTATGACCAAAATCTTTTTGCTGAATATCATTATTTAACTCCTCATGTTAAATTTTTTACTTTATTTTTTATCAACATGCCTTTTTGGAAACAGAAACCTGGTTGATGCAGCTAATATAGCTGCTTTGGCTGCTCTTATGACCTTTCGGAGGCCTGAATGCTCACTAGGAGGAGAAGATGGTCAAGAAGTAACAATACATCCTCCTGAGGTGATTTTTCCAGAATCTTGGCTTTGAACATTCGTTTTGCAAATAAATATATATTTTAAGTTACTATGAATTTAGTGAGTTTTGAGACCTGCATTTTGACACTTTTGCATTTACAAGAATCCACGGCCTAAGGAAAAAATGACCCAAGGCAATTGCACCAAATTAAAAAGGCTGTAATTAACAAAAAATTTTGAAGTTCTGAATGCCTTGAGTGAATCAATTCTTTTCTTGGATGTACGCATGCCTTACTAATATACCTGCAAGGAGCAAGCACGTCATATACTGTCAGACATATTTTTTTTCTTATCACAGTTGGAATTAGTTGGCTAGTTTTTTCTAGAAGCTTCAGGGCTGATTACATATGCTATTGTAAGGATTGTACTTATGCCTTAAAAATTTACCAGCAATGAGTATGTGCCTTATGTGAATTTAGATGCATTATTTTTCTTATCAATTTGGAATCTGTTGACTAGTCTGTTTATGAAGTCTCACGGCTGATAACATATTCTATCATAAGTTATATCCAATACAATGTTCAGGATCAACTGTAATCCTAAAATGATCTCATGTAACATTGGACAGTATTTCTGTTATGGAGACAAAATAATCTTGATTATTTGCTCTATAATTAGATTCTGAAGAATGTGTTGTTTCCAGAAGTTAATAGTTTTCAACAGTTCATGGTTTTTAATGTGGATTCATTTGGTAATCACTTGCTCTGGTTTCACCTCTCTTCAGCTGTAACTGTTTATTTTTGTGTCAATTATCCTCAGACTGCATTAGTCAGGCTTGTAAAAGGGCTAGTCTGAGTCTATTTAAAGCATGATAATTCAATTGATTTTGAGCCTAAGAAAACCAATCAAGTAGCTTTAGGTGTAAGGTCTGAGCTATTAAATTCTATCCAAATAAGCCCTCGGAATGATTTTAGCACAATTACATGGGCTCAATTTTTCTGCACAAAATTTACTAGAGTAAATAGAAGTCTTTTGCAGAAATTTTTTTTTTTTTTTTTTGCAATTTCATCACATTATGGATAGTTTGGTAATGCACTGGAATCTGGAGTCTTTGGATGTTTCCACGTTTTATCTGTGTTTTGGGTTGAAGATGGTTTTTATGTATTTATTGGATAATTTCTTATTTGAAATTATAATCTGTCATTTAGGCATCTTTTTGGGCCATTATTTCATGAAAATATGAGTTAGTAATTTCTTTGGTTTTGTTGGAAATGAGAATTAGTCTATTGTGCCCTCTTCTTATCTACTTGCTGCCAGGAAAGTGTGGTGCCATAGCCTTTGTTTCTAGCCAGTGCCTCCATATCCCGTTAACCAATTTACCTACAAACACTTCCCTTTTTATTATTATCAAAAACCTTAAATCCTTATTCATCCAAATTAATCCACAATGTAGAAAACTTCCCTGTTAAAAAGAGTCTAGACTTTAATGATTTTGTTTCATACATCAAAGATAGCTAATTATTGCTGCTATGCTTTTCTTTTTGTTTTAATTTATTAATTTCAGTGTACAGCCTTTTGACTAAATTGTATATTTCAACATATAGTTCTTAATGGTGTCTTTTCTTTTGATAGATGAGGGAGCCACTTCCTTTGATAGTACATCATCTTCCCATAGCAATTACCTTTGGATTTTTTATTGATGAGAGCATTATGGTATGTAAACTTTTTTCTGGAACTTTCACCTAGTTTTAAGTGATACATCTTGGTCAAGGCTAAAGTTTATATGCTTTCCTTCTGATGTGATGAAATGTCATGAAGGTGATAGATCCCACCCACAATGAGGAGGCTGTTATGGCTGGAAGAATGATTGCTACTGTTAACGCAAATGGTGATATTTGTGCGATTCAGAAAGCTGGAGGAGAAGGTGTCAGTCAGAGGGTTATCATGCGATGTTTGAAACTTGCTACTACAAAGGCTGTGGATATAACCAAGCAGATAAAAGAAGCAGTAAGTACTTTATCTCCAGTATGGTCTTTTGAAACTTGAGGGAAAATTTTTCTTGACTGCTCGTTTTTTGTTCTGGGCATACTATGATAATTTGTTTACAGACTATTTAAGGCAAAATTGTAAATGAAATGATTTTTGAGAATGTGCTCAATATGTTATTGAATTAGATTTTGTTTGGTTTTACATTTATCATATGTGGTTTGCTTCCAAAAGTTAAAAGTAATAAGTGCATTTGGATTAAAAAACAAACAAATGTTGTGAAAGAACTAGAAATATAAAAATTTACTTCAATACCTAGCATCATGCATGTTTTACTTTTATAGAGAACCATTATGCTTGACTTGGTGTTGCATCTAAAGTATTTGCTCAGTTTTAATGAAATTTCTTTTTTCCGTTTTTCCATATAACTTTGAAGTTTTAGTCATCTCTACATGATGTATTTATGCCACTTCTTTTCATATGTTTTATAGATAATAAGAATAAGCTGTCGAAGGTAGGGATTAAATCTTTAGAATATGGCACATAGCAAGGAGGTGAGATTGCTCTTCAGATCATAGTACTCCTACTGTTGCTTCCCATCTCTTTGCAACTATTTCACAGACACAACTGCTTCTGGCATGCCCTAGTGTATATCAAGCCAGGAAAAAAAGGACAGCTTCTGAGGAATCAAGTAGTTCAGGAATTAAATGGTTAACTGATCTTTTGTTCTTATATATATACTTTCTATCCAATACAAAACTCCTGTTTCCAAATTTTCTGTTGTTAATATGCATCTAGAGAGGGAAATGAATTCTTCCTCTTCAGTTATGTTACTCGTTTCAAGTAGCGTTTTGCAAATTGAGCTCCCATTGTTTGCCCGAGTAATTCTTGTTCAATAAATTGTTGTAGGTTGAAGCATACAACTCAGAAAGAGCTTTGCAGAAGATCAAATGCAAGTCTACTTATGCTGGTACTAATGAAGAGAACCGAAACCAATCTGTTGATAGTAAGGGCATTAGTGAGTTGGCAGGTAAATATATGGAGAGATTGAAACTTGTATCAAGGGAATGCTGTGTAAGTCCAAATAATAATGAAGTTGAAACCAAATCATTGAGAAGTGGGACAGATGGTATCAATTTTACTAGCGGCCCCTTGAGTTGGTAAGATTTTAGCATTTCCAATATGCATATGAATATATATATATATATATATATATTATATAATTTTTTCTATGATTTTAGCGAATTTCTGGGGGAACTTTTGAAATGTATTTTACCTAATTTTAGGTCTATGACCTTAGACCCTTTATAGTTAAATACCATTGGTGTAAGGGTGGTTTCCTTGATCTATGCTATGCATTTCATCTCAAGGTTCATTTGTCACAGATTTAAGTCTTTATAATCACAACTGAAATGGAGCAATGGGCATGTTGAATTAGGTATTAAAGCAGCCCAGTTTTTTTTTTTTTTTTGGATTACAATTGATATAATGCATCTGATTGACTGGAGTTTTCCTTGACCAAAACATCCTCTGATATCCAGATGATCGTATCTTATGTTATGGTTTTTTTTCTTGTTCTGTAGTTTAACAATATGAAGGAATTTGAAGAATTTATCAACAGAGATCATCTATTGAGGGTTCATTATGATACAAACCTTGTTTTGACCTGAAAAACAGTTGCATGCAACTTTTTAAATTGTCTAATGCAGAGCATCAATTTTTTTTTGTTCTGCTAATTTATTATTTAAGCATGTTTCTAGTTTAACTGAAAAGGCTGCATCTTTGTTATGCTATCAAAACTTGATCATGTTGTCAAGATTTGCACAAATTTTTGTGCTGGTTTTATCCAAGGCACAATATCTATTTACTTTAAGTGGTGCATGTTAACAAGTTTGCAGCATTGAAGAAATTGATATGACATTTTAAACTAAAATTATAGGGACTCAGGAAACTGAATTATAGCAAAAAGGGTGAGCACCACAGTGATGATACCATTGCCTGTATCAGCTGATAAGCTTTCTCACACAATGCTTTGTTACCTTGTGGGACTTATTGGAACTTATTTATAAACATCTTACACTTGTTCGGTATATGGGTAGGAAAATTCCATGCTATTCAGTCAATTCTGGGAATGTTTTCTGGACCTTTCATTATTATGGTGCATGTTTAAGTCCTTTCCTCATTGCTTGCTGCATCCTCTTTTTTCTAATTGTTTTACGTAATGAGATATGATTTTGTGGGAAGTAAAAGAACAAGAGGGTTTCTGTTCTTACATTTTAATTTATTGAACTCTTTTTCTTGCTAATGCTAAAACTTTTTCGTTCTCCTCAGGGATCCTTACTCAAAGGGTGTTGATCCAGAATTTCTGAAAGTTTCACTAGCTTCACAAGGTATGCTGTTTTTCGCTTTATTTTTTCTTTTCATGCCCCTGGTAAAAAGAATTGACCCATGTCTTTTATATATCTGTTTCGCTACAACTGAACATTTACCATCCTCATTGAGTTCTTTGTCTCATTTGTTTCCTTCAAACAAGTATCCAGCTGCTGGCTTTATTTTGCACAAGTTGAAATAACCATTATTTACTGCTGTTTGTGGAACACAAGTCACTGAAACCACATTCTCTCCATGGATAATCTTTGTTTCTCATAAAAGTGCTGCACTTTCTTTTGTATGAATGACATCTTTTTCTTTACCGTTGAAGAACTGGGTTCCAAATAGGATTATTTTTATTTAATCAAGTTGGATAGATGTCGGTATGATTTAGGATACAACACAATCTCAGTCTGTCTTCTGACCTGTGGAATTTGTAGGTTTGTCAACTCCCAATAAGAAAAAGGAGTCAAGTGGTGAGGAAAAGCCTAGTGGAACCGAACGAGAGGGGCCATATGATGATGTTAATCCAAAGTCGTCAGCCATTAATACATCTAGAATTGAAATCCAGACAAAAGGGCAGAAAACATTGAAAGACGCTGTAAAACCTAAGAACAAGAGGAAAAAGAAGGGTTCCTCCATTATTTAAATTTAATATATATTTGTTACATTTTAACTTCTCACACCTGCATGTCAATTGCCAAGTTATTAGTGGAGCAAATCTTTATGGATCCTTCATGAAATTCAGTTATTTTTTGTTCCTAAAAACTAAAAGCAATTTATGATATAATTTAGAATCCATGTGAAATAACTAAGTTATGAATGAAGATATATTTAAATCTATCTTCATTCAAGGTTTTTACAAAATATTTCTTATATATTTTAATTAATTATATATTTAAAATAAAATTAAGAGTTAAAAAATTAACCATTAAAAATCAAAATAAAACAAAATCTATGAAATTGAAACGTTTGGACTACTATAATTGATCCCATGCATTTATAACGATCTAACATACATATCCAATTCATTCCCATCTTGCTTCATATTTTCGGCCAGCATTATGCCAAAAATAATAATAACAACAAAATATAAATTAAATTATAAACAACAACTAATTAAAATTTAAATCTTTCTTCGGTTGACATTTATCTTTAAATTTTTTTTTAAATTAAAATAAAATGTGTCGTATATAATAATTTAAAATAAATAATTATAAATCATGTATTCGATATTACTTCAATAATTATCAATAAAATTTAAAATTAATTTTTTTATTAAAAAAGATGAATCTTAATTAATTAAAATAATCATTTTTTGATATTTATATTCCAATTTAATTGCTTTGTTAGGTCTCCTAAATTTGAAAGTTTATTCAACTTGTGGGCCCGTTGAAGTGGACTTCATGTGATCATGTGCAAGATTGTTTGACTGCAACACAGGCCGGTTATACCCTGTTTGACGAAAATAAAAGAGGTTGAAATGAACAATTGTTTTTTTCATTTTTTTGAAAGAATTTTTTCATTTATTTTATGGGAAAATAGTAGAAAATTTTTTTTAAATGAGAGAAACGTAAAATGATAACACTCTCTCAATGGATGTCAATCAATTTATTTTTAATTAATTTCTTTCTTCTCTTAACATTAACTATTAGGAGATAATCACTATCCATGATGCCTTAGTTTCTAACACCATGATAAAAAGCCAATGAGGTACTAAATAATCAATAGGAAATATTGACTTTGACGTGTGTTGGGTATAAGTTTTAAAGCGTGAGATCCCATCTAATTCATTTCAATAGTATTATTATAGATTTTAAAAAAATGAACATTATGCAATGGATTAACTTAGTCCTCGACTTTAAAAAAACCTTATCATAAAAAATAGCACGAATTATATTATTCTCAATTTATAAATATCTTAACTCGTAATTAAAAATATTTATGAGTAAATAGTATTTGTGATCTTTAAATTTTGAGTTCGATTTTATTTTGTTTTTTAAGCTTTAAAAAATTTTAATCAAATTATGAATTGTTCAAACATGTACCAACATAATTCTTTCGTTTGTTGGATTATCTAAATTAACGAAAAATCCTACTTGACATGATATATAACTATTAAAAATTTTAATATGTTAAATTTTAAAATTGTGTAATTAAAAAAACATGAAATTAAAAACAAAAAAAAATTAAAATATAACACAATGACATAATATTAAACTAACTCAATATATGTATTAATTTACGAAAGAATTTAGTATAAATTCATATTAATCCATTACTCATGTACACATTTATAAATAAAAAAATTGTAAATCAAGATAAACCCATATTCTTCACAAGATTCAATTTTGAAATTAATTCAAAAGCAAAGACAAATTACCTAAATTTCTTATAATCATATATTGCAAGAAACTCTATTTTTACAAGTAATAAAAAGTGCCGATAAAATTCTAAGACAATATACCATAAAATAGGAACCGAAAGGCCACTTTTGCCATATTCAGTATCAACTAATGCCATTAAACCATCACCCAGATCTAAAACAAATAAAAATGATTTCATTAATTTCATTTCTCTCAATTTTCTCTTGCTTTCTTCTTAATTTTAGAGAGAACCAAAAAAAAAAAAATGGAAGAGAGAGGTCGCTAAAATTTCGATTGGAGAAAGATTAAATTCGTCTTAACAGTGTCAAATTTGATCCTTTTCATTTCATCCAATGAAATAGAGCTGTTGTTGAACTTCAGTTTTCGGTGCAAATAGTGAGAAGGCCATATGCTACCCTTCCAAATGGTTGGCTATCTCTTGATTGTTAGAGGAAAAAAGGGATAAAACAATAAAGAAGCGAGTACAAAGCATGAAAAAAAAGTTATAATAGAGTATTGATTTAGAGGTTTTTTTTTTAATTTCATATATTTTAATTACATATGTTTAAATCAATTTTAAAATTTCACATATTTAAATTTTTAAAATTTATCTATCATATCACATGAAATTTTTTATTAATTTATATGATATAACAAATAAAAAAATTTATTGATACACGTTTAAATAATTGAAAATTCAATTAAAATTTTTTTTAATTTAAAGGCTAAAATATAATTTAACCCAAAATTTAAAGATTAAAAATGTTATTTACCCAATATTTATAAATTATTTGAATTAAGTCGAATTTAATTTATATCTAAAACAAATTATGTTTATATTTCAGCTGTCCTGTTTTATTCATTTATTTTATAAAATTATTTATATATTAATATTTTAATACTCATAAATATATTTTATAATAAAAATTAAATAAAACATCATTTATTAAAAAAATAAAATTCTTGAATTTGACTTAAAAATTTATTCAATTTCCAATCAAAAATGGATTAGATGCATGGGCCCAGTGGTAATCCAATCAATGAATATTTTAAGAGGAATATCGATAACTACATAAAAAATTAATGTTATAAATAATTTGTAAATTATAATAAAATATTTAATGTAATATTAAATTTTAAAAATATTTAATATAATATTTAAATTATAAATTTATTAATCAATATTATATTATTATAATATAATTATTTTGTAATAATTAGTTAAATATTATATTAATTAATTATAATTTAAATATTAAATTAAAATTTTTAATTTTAAATATTATATTAAATATTTTATTATAATTCTAAAATTATTCATAATATGATCCTTAAATTAATTGAAAAAAAGAAAACTAAACCTCCCGCAAAGAGTATCAGTTGACACGCCACATAAAAAATGTGAATGACATTCTTGGGAGGAATATCCATATCGAATATGGACGGAAGGAGACAAAGCAGGTGCTCGATAATCGTTCCGCTATTTACGCGTTCAGATTTAATGGCACTTCTGTAAATAAAGCCATAACCCAGTGGCTGTTTTGGAAATCAAAACCCCAAATAATTACTTAAGGGCATTTTAGGAATCTAAAAGTATAAATGAACAGGGAACACTTTTCCAAACAAAGACCCAGAACGGAATTTCATGATTAGACAACTGGCAGCTTTAGGCCAATAATAAACGATTTCAGTTAATATCCATGTTTGCATTGTAGAGGATTCAGAAAAAATAACGACTTGCATTTGACACGTCAACACGTTTACATTTTGAACAGCCACGCTCTCAACCGCTCCATCTTTGATAAAATATTAAAATTTTAATTTATTATTCAAAGTTTAATATTCAATAATTTCAAGTATCAAGATATATGTATATATATATATAGCCACAACAAGAAGAATTTTGATTTTGCTTGCATCATAACATTAAAACATCAATCCAAAGCTTGTGGTTTTACCATGATTTGCAATGGATAAAATCATTTCTGATTTCTCTAAGAAAAAATCATAACACAAAAAAGATTTTATGTACTAAAGTATTTGATTTGCCCATGGTCTCAATCATATATGTTAATTTTCATGCTTATTTTAACATTTGTTTTCCTTTTCTCTTTAACGGAAAGCAAAATCCACCTTTTGACAAAAACAAAACAAAGAATGATGGAAACTGTCAATTGTCACATGATGAACGTTATTATTATAGTCTTTATTTGGGAGTAGTATATTATTTATATATAAAAATATGAACATTAAAAATATTAATAATAATTTTTTTAAATATTTTTATAAAATTTTAAATTAATAAATTTATTTTTAAATATATAACTATTATTAATTTATTTAAGTTTAATTTAAATTAATTAAAATTAAAAATATAATTTATGTGAAATTAAACTACTTAAAATTTTAAAATTTTAATTTCAAATGTGTTAAAAATGATTGACTCAATATCTAAGGGTGTAATCGAGCCGAGTCGAGTCGAATAGTGAGAAGCTCGAGCTTAAGCTCGACTCACAATTCAGGGTTCGATACTCGATTCGAGCTCGATCGAGTTTTATTTTCAAGCTTGAGCTCGATTCGTGATCAAATTCGAGCTACTCGAGCTTGCTCGATTAAGCTCGATTCATATACTCGACAAGAGTTCGATTATTCATGTTCGAACTTGAACTCGAACTCGAAATATTTTATTAATTAAAATAATAGAAATATATTTAAATATAAAAGCTCGATTAGGCTCGCGAGCTACTCGAATGGAATATAAGAATACTCGAATTCGGCTCGATCGATAAGTCGAGCTACTCGAGCTCGAGTTCGACTCGATAATAATCGAATCGAATTCGAGTTTTCTTCGAATCGAATCCGAGTAGCTTGCGAGTACTAATGTATCATTTACACCTCTACTCATATCCTTAGTAATTTTTTTTTATAAATTTTAATTTATATGAGAATTTTTATTAGTAAACTTTTTTTATAATTAGACTAAAAAAGTATTAAAAATAATTAATTAAAATACCCTTAACAAAGTTTTAATTTCAAAAATGTTAAAAGTGATTGATTAAAATACCATTAGTAATTTTTTATAAATTTTAATTTAAATGACTTTATTTTTGTTATTAAACTATTTTTTTATATAAATACAATGATTTTTCATATCAAATGAAAATATAAATAGAACAATATTAAAATTTGATGTGCATAGGAATAAAACTATTATATAGAGTTTGTTTCTTTATTTGTTGTAAAAATAATTGTATATGTAATTTATATTGATAAATTAATTAATTAATTAAAGACAATCATAATTAAGCCATTTAAGCATATTTGTTTTTTTTTCAATTTTTGGTTTTAATATATTAACCATATATGTATGTTAATGATTTTATTATTTATATGTTTTAT